TGTTGTTGTTGTTCCTAGCCTCTGTATGTAACCCCTGCTGAACCTAATCTCCATTATTGAACCTGTAGTGGACCTAACCAGCTTTGTTTGACCCTCAACTACCCTTTCAGCTTGACTATGCAAACTCACGGCTTGTCGGCCTCCCCAACTCCTTCCTCCATAGGCTGCAGATCATCCAGAACACTGCAGCCCATATCCTCTCCCGCACTAGGCTCCGTAACCCTATCACCCCCATCCTCACCTGACTCCACTAGCTTCCTATCACACAGAGGATACAGTTCAAGATCTTGGTACTCACCTTCAAAGCCCTCCATGGCCTTGCTCCCCACTACCTCTGCGACCTCCTAATCGCCTATCAACCTGCCTGGTCCCTCCACTGAGCAGGTTCCAGCCTGCTTCAAGTCCCCCGTCTCGCCCACCCCACCATTGCCGGGCGAGCTTTCAGCCACCCTGCCCCCACCATCTGAAACCCCATCCCGTAGTCCCTCCATCTCGCTCCCTCCTTCGCCTCCTTCAAGACCCATCCCAGGACCCTCCTCTTCGACTGTGCCTTTAGTCACCCTCCTTACTGCCCCCACACGTGCCCCTCCGCCCCCCAGCCTCCCCAGCTCGGGTGCAAAACATTGACTCTCCAGCACCTTGGAACGTCCTCCCGATGTGAAAGGCGCTATATAAATGCAATTTTGGTTACTGTTGTTGTAAAACAACATAGCATACCATTGAAAGCATTGTCTGGCAAACAGAAGAATCCCTGCTCCCAATGAATGGTTGGCCAATCATCAGTTTTGCTTTGAAGTATTGACTCAAGAACTAAACTACTGGGACCACCAGAGGATCCACTCAATTCCTGTATTCCATTGCCAGCTCAGTCCTCAGAAGATACACTTCAAGGATGCCCAAGGGAGGATGCCCAAGGGAGGAGAATTTGGTGCTGCAGTGGCATTGTGTGCATCTGTGTGAAGGCTCAGTTTTGCTGGGGGCACATACATATCTGTGCCAGCATGACTCAATTGGTAGCACTCTTACCTCTGATTCAGAAGCTTGTGGGTCCAAATCATGTAGTCTAAATTGACATCCCAAATCAGTGGCTGGCAGTGCACGACACTGGCAAGTTTCCTTACTCCACACGCCTCTGTTTACCTAGTAGTAAGTAGGAACCCAGTTGTTAGTCGATTGGCAGATCGCTTTTCGTGGGTAATAATCCCTCAAAAAAAAATGTGTTCACTCAATCCTCGACTGTTCATGGGTAACTGCTGTGAGTATTTGGCTGTCGCATTTCGCCCACAAAATACAGTCGTTCCACTTTACAATATATTCGGTGAAGCACTTTGAGATGTCTTGGAAGATGTAATAAGGCGCTGTATCAAATGCAAGGATTATTATTATTATAATTTTGAATAAATATTTAAATAAATATCTGGATTTATTCTGAGAAGTTAAACTGAGAATCTGTCCGCCTATTACTATGAACAATAAAAATCCCATGGGACTATTCAGAAAAAGGGGTTTTTCCCCGGTATACTAGCCAAAAATGCCCTGGTAGAATTGGTCATTCACTTCATGGCTGCTTGTGGGATATTGCGGCTCGCAAATTGGCTGCTGCATTTGCCTACAAAATTCAGTCACTCCACTTTACAAAATTTCCTATGAAGAGCTTTGGGACGCCCTCCCGACATCAAATCATCTCAAATTGAGGGATTATTATTTGCTGTCATCCAGTCGTGTCTTTGGGAAACTTCTCTGCCTTTGATGACGCTGTGTGTGTGCGTGTGTGTGTGAGGAGACTCCGTGCTCTAGAGGGCGCTGTGTGTGTAAGCAGACTCAACACAACTTGGATTTATATAGTGCCCTCCACATTGGATGGCGTCTCAGAGCGCTTCACAGTAATGGATCCCGGGACCGAGCCAGGGGGAGGGGAGGAGGTGACCAAAGGCACGGTCGAAAAGAAAGGTCTTCAGCAGAGACCTGAAAATAGAAAGGGAGGGAGCGAGGCGAAGGGAGTGAGGAAGGGAGTTCCAGAGCCTCGGGGCATAGTGGCTGAAGGCACGGCTGCCGAGGGTGGAGCGGAGGACTTGGGGGACGAGGAGGAGGTCAAACACGAAGGAACGAAGGCAACGGGTACTATTTTGAGGAAAGAGGAGGTCAGAGAGGTANGGGGGTGAGAGGAGTGCAGGGAGTTGAATACAAGGGTGAGGATCTTGAATCAATCCTCTTTGGGACAGGCAGCCAGTGCAGTCTGGCAAGGACTAAGGTGATCGGGAAGCGGAGTTTCTTGCGGGTGAGAATGGATGGTAGTGGATAAGAGACTGGCGAGGAAGGCGTTAGAGTAGTCCAGCCGAGAGGTGACAAAGGCATGGATCAGGGTTTCAGCGGCTTTTGAACATCAGGGGACTGGGGGTCGCAAAGAGAGGTGGAAAAATAGAGTTGAGTGTCGTCTGCATACATGTGGAAGTGTACCCCATGTCTGCGGATGACATCCCCAAGAGAGAGCATATAGATCAGAAAGAGGAGGAGGCCAAGGATGGATCTTTGGGGTACCCCGCAGGTGACCGGGTGAGAGTGGGAGAAGCCGTTTGTGCAGATGTACTGCTGGCGGTTCATGAGGTAGGACTCGAACCAGGCGAGTGCAGTCCCACTGAGGTGGATAAAGGAGGAAAGGCGGTGGAGGAGGATGGCGTGATTGACTGTGTCGAACGCGGCGGAGAGGTCCAGGAGGACAAGGAGGCAGAGGGAGCCCTGGTCACAGATAGAGAGGATGTCATTTGTGACTTTCACAAGCGCAGTCTCTGTGCTGTGGGTGGAAACCGGACTGGAGGGGTTCGAATAGGGAGTGGGAGGAGAGGTGTGCGCGAAGTTGATGGCAACAACGCGTTCTAGGACTTTTGCGAGGAAGGGCAGGTTAGAAATAGGGCGGTAGTGGCCGGGGTTTGAGGGATCCAGGGAGGGTTTTTTCAGGAGGGAGGTGATGATAGCAGTTTTGAGGGAGGCAGGGACTGATCCGGAGGAGAGGGATTGGTTGATGATGTCAGCCAGTAGTGGGCAGAGGAGGGGGAGCTGGGTGACCAGTAAGTTGGTGGGGAGGGGGTCGAGGCAGCAGGTGGTGGGTTTCATGGAGGTGATGGTGGGCGAGAGGGAAGAGAGAGATGGGGAGGAAGGAATGTAGAATGGGGGTGGTGGTAGGAGCAGATGATGGGGAGAGTGAGAGGGACAGAGAGGGGGTGGTGGTGGGTGGCAAGAGGCAGGTGGATGAGGCTGCCTGGCGGATGTTAAGTATTTTAGATGAAAAGAAGTCCATGACCTCCTCGCACTTGGCATTTGATACGAAGATTAAGGAGGCCTGAGGGGGGCACGGAGGAGGTAGTGGGTGGTGGAAAAAAGGATTTTAGGGTTGTGTTTAGCCTCCAAGATGATGGGAGTAGAAGGCCGTTTTTAGTGTGTGTCAAAGAACGGCGGTAGCTGTGGAGATGCTCGAGCCACAGTTGGCGGTGAACTGTCAGCCCAGTTTTCCACCATCTGCGCTTGAGCAGCCGGGTTTGGGATTTTTGGCGGCAGAGATTGTTGTTGTACCGGGGAACGGGTGGGTTTGGAGATGGTCCTGGATTTTAGGGGGACGTGGGAGTTGAAGGTGGAGGAGAGGCGATCGTGGAGCAGCTGGACGGCTGCTTCAAGATCTCCGCGGGTGGAGGGCCAGAGGGATAGGATGTTTGATGATGAGAGGGCCTTTGTGAGGGTCTCAGGGGGTAGCCTTTTCCAAGGGCAGTAGAGGATGGTTGAGGGCTTGGTGGAGGAGAGAGGGATGTGAGAGGAGAAGGAGATGAAAAAAGTGGTCCGAGATGACCTTGTCCACTATGCTGAGGTCGGAAATGTCAAGGCCGCAGGAGATGACCAGGTTAAGGGCATGACCACGGTTGTGGGTGAGTGAATTTATATGGAGGGTAAGGTTTAGGGAGAGGGCGCTGGGCTGTAGAGGGCGCTGTGTGTGTGTGTGTGAGGAGACTCCGGGCTGTAGAGGGCGCTGTGTGTGTGTGTGTGAGTGAGGAGACTCTGGGCTGTAGAGGGCGCTGTGTGTGTGTGTGTGAGGAGACTCCGGGCTGTAGAGGGCGCTGTGTGTGTGTGTGTGAGGAGACTCCGGGCTGGAGAGGGCGCTGTGTGTGTGTGTGTGAGGAGACTCCGGGCTGTAGAGGGCGCTGTGTGTGTGTGTGAGGAGACTCCGGGCTGTAGAGGGCGCTGTGTGTATGTGTGAGGAGACTCCGGGCTGTAGAGGGCGCTGTGTGTATGTGTGAGGAGACTCCGAGCTGTAGAGGGCGCTGTGTGTATGTGTGAGGAGACTCCGGGCTGTAGAGGGCGCTGTGTGTATGTGTGAGGAGACTCCGGGCTGTAGAGGGCGCTGTGTGTGTGTGTGTGAGGAGACTCCGGGCTGTAGAGGGCGCTGTGTGTATGTGTGAGGAGACTCCGGGCTGTAGAGGGCGCTGTGTGTGTGTGTGTGAGGAGACTCCGGGCTGTAGAGGGCGCTGTGTGTGTGTGTGTGTGTGTGTGTGTGAGGAGACTCCGGGCTGTAGAGGACGCTGTGTGTGAGGAGACTCCGGGCTGTAGAGGGCGCTGTGTGTGTGTGTGTGAGGAGACTCCGGGCTGTAGAGGACGCTGTGTGTGAGGAGACTCCGGGCTGTAGAGGGCGCTGTGTCTGGATCACGTGAGCTTTGGTCGGATCACGTGAGGCGGTTGTCGATGTGTCGCACCTGGGATTGGATAAATTATCCTGGCGCTCATTGGTCAGGTTTACGCTGCTCTGATTGGTTCTTTTTTCCTCCACGTGTGGTCCCGGAGCTGGAGCCGGGGCAGCGGAGAGAGAGAGAGGCCGGGGCCTGGGCAGCGGAGAGAGAGAGAGGCCGGGGCCGGAGAGAGAGAGAGGCCGGGGCCGGAGAGAGAGTGAGGTCGGGGCCGGAGAGAGAGAGAGAGAGGCCGGAGCCGGAGAGAGAGAGGCCGGGGCCTGGGCAGCGGAGAGAGAGAGAGGCCGGGCCGGAGAGAGAGAGGCCGGGGCCGGGGCCGGGGCTGTAAACCCGGGCGGTCGACAATGACGTACATCCAGAACTGGGAGGAGTTCATTAAAGCGGCGGAAAAACTGTGTCTGTCGGAGGCCATGAAGGTAACTGGGGCCTGGGATTAGGGTACTGGGGGGTAACAGCTGGAGTCTAACCAGCTTCCAGCTGGAGGCAGCACACAGCCTGCCATTGAGAGCGCTGCCCGGCGAGCCTTCCCACTGCTGGACCAGCTCGGAACAACTCAGCTGTTACGCCCTAATAATAATCCCTCCAAAACCCAAACCAATAATAAAATGGTCATTTTCAATCCACGACTGTTTGTGGGACATTGCTGTGCGCCATTGGCTGCCGCGTTCGCCCACAAATATACGGTCAATTCACTTTACAGTGTGTTCTGTGAAGCGCTTTGGGACGTCCTCCCGACGTGAAAAGCGCTGTATCATAATGCAAGGATTATTATTATTTGTGGCAGCGGAGTTAGGCCCCACAAGGGAGAGTGGGAATGGCGCTGATCTGAATCTGATCTCCCAAGGTCCTCAATGCTCCTTGTTCTATTCCCAGGTGCGAGTAGTCATCAAGTACAGACACTGTGACGGGATTCTGGCCATGAAGGTGACTGACGATGTGGTGGTGAGTATCAGCTTCAGCCACGGGTCAGGAGATTGAGCCTGGAACTGACTCTGGCAATCAGGGTTTGAGCATCAACACCAGGAATTAGATTGGAATCTCTATTGGGTTTAGAATTCAGTGAACATTGATTTACAGGGGTATTTACTTACTTGTAATGTACCAAAAATGCCAGGGATTATTGCAAGATAATGGGAACATCCAGTAGAAGTTCTTTCCTCTTTCAGTGTATACAAATTCTTGGGTGGGGCGGGGGGTGGTTGTTGGCCAGGGCAGTGGGAGAAACTCCCTTTTCGAAAATTGCTTCTCTCTGTCTGTGCCTTTCTGCCCCAACTCTCTCTGGAACTCCTTCCCCTTTTGTGCCTGTTGCTGCATCTCTGGTCCAAAGGGGTCTGTCCACTCAGTGACTCTAACTTTCTTCACAAAACACTTTTGTTGAGGGATGAATATCTGGGTAATTTGTTTTGAGGGAAGGGGGAGAAGCATATGAAACGTGCAAAAATATGTGGGAAAGCATGGAACTCCTGCAACAAAAGTGGTCTCTTCTGTGTCCAGTTCTCATGGGATGTGTCAGATTAATCGATAATTCAACAATGTTTGTGTGACACTGGTGTGAGCAATTGTCTGCCCCGTTTCGACCATAAAATACACAGTCCATTCACTTTACGGTATATTCTTTGAAGTGCTTTGAAACATCTCAACAACATAAAGTGCTATATCATTTGCAAGAATTATTATTATCATCAGGGCCTTCAGCCTTTCTGCCCCTGCTCTCTTGAACTCCATCCCAACGTTCAGTGCTGCTGATGCAGGGCACTGGGCTGTGTGATATTGACTGTTGTGAATTGGGCTATATTCAGTAACCTCTTCTTTCTCTCTTCACTCTCTCCCAGTGTTTACAGTACAAAACAGATCAGGCTCAGGATGTGAAAAAGGTTGAGAAATTCCAGAATCAGCTGATGCGTCTGATGGTTTCCCGAGAATCTCGCAGCAACCTCATGGAAACGGATTGACCCTTTATCTGCCAAACACCGTTTATAGTTTTGGAGGGAAAAGGACCCTATTCTGGTGGATGGAATGCATTGGAATTGGCTCTTTATTGGTGGGGGTGGGGGAAGGGGGGGAAATTATGACTTGAGGTCTGAACTGTTGCAGATTGTGTTTATGGAGTTGGGTGACCAGCTCTGGGACCTGTTGTGCAGAACTTGAGTGAGCTCCTTGCCAACAGACTATCCATCTTGAGTAGGTGGAGTGTGTGGGGCTCTGTGGTGTATTGCCATGGTTGGGTTTCCTTGAAGAGGCCATTGATTTGTGTTGAGCCTGTTTCTGCTGCCAGTTTCTGCAGGTATCTAATGGAAGCAAAAATAAAGAATTTGTGGTTTCATTTGGTCTTGATTTTCTTCTCTTGCATGAACGCTCTTCTCTACAAATTCATTGCTTAACCTTTTGGGGGGAGGCAAATTATTTAACCAAGTATCAGGGGTCTTTGTGAACTTCTGGTTCTTTGTGATGCTTGCTTAAAGGAGATAGCCTGAGTTAAGCCTGTTGGGCAAGGTGACATGATCCTGGATTCAGGCAGGTCATATGTGCTGTTGACGATTGACTTGTGAGCATATTACTCCCTGCAAGCAGTGCAGCTCTCTGATCTGACACAATTTTAGGCTTTGTTGCTGTGAAAAACGTATGATTTTTTTACGAGCCAGTGGACGATGCTGAAGCGAGAGCTGAAACCACAATTTGCATTTATATAGCACCCTTAATGAGGGGCAGCGTCTCGGAGTGTTTGATGGTGGCGGAGCTTGACACCAAGCCAGGAAGAGGGCTGAAGTGCCTATAAGTGCGGTCAAAGAGGAGGGTCTTCAGTAATGATCTTGATGTGTGGAAGGAGGGATTGGATTGGGGGGAGAGTTCCAAAGCATAGAGTGGCTGAAAGCGTGGCCACTGATGATGGAAGGAACAAGCGACAAGCAGGAGGCCAGAACCAGCTGAGCGGAAACATTGGATAGTGGAGTGGAGAGAAAGCAGGTCAGAAAGGTAGAGAGATGCCAGTGGGTAAAGAGGTTTGTAAATGAGAAGGAACACAAAAGTAAATTCTTGTTTCCTAAATCTTGAACTGAGTTTGAGTGAATGAGGGGTTGACCCATTGAGAGTCCATAAAATGGGAAGGACTGGGAAAGAGTTGGTTTCTGGGTAATAGGAAGTGAAGGAGAATTGTAGTGACTGTTAAGGGATTTATTGCTATACAATGTGAGACTCCGTGGAAAACAAGCTGGAATCTAAGACTGATCATCTTATTAGCCAAGATTGGTGATAAGACCTGGGAACTTCTTCAGTATTTTCCTACAGAGGCATTGGGGGAAGCCTGTATTTCCTCTGTTTACCAGCAGTAAGTAGGATCCTGGTTGTCAGTCTAATAGTGGATTACTTTCTAGTGGTAATAATCCTTCAAAAAAAGGAAAAACTCAATCCAGGACTGCTTGTGGGACACTGCTGTACGCAATTGGCTGCCATGTTTCGCCCACAAAATATACAGTCAATCCACTTTACAATATATTCTATGAAGTGACTTGAGATGTCTCAATTAAGTGATGAGCTGTTATATCAAATGCAAGGATTATTATTAAAATAACATTCTATATTAAATGGAACTTAATTTCCAGATCATCAATCCCTTGCTTAATTGAGTTGATTTAAATTCTGTCAGCCTTGTGGTTCAGTTTGATGCAAATTTTCTCTCCAACTCCATCTATTGTTAAAAAAAAGTGGATTTTTTTTCCCCCTTGGTTATCAGGCTTGCACACACAGTCAACTCACTTTACAATATATATTCTATGAAGTGTTTTGAGACATCTCAACGATGTGATAAAGTGCTATATCAAAGTAAGGATTACTAGTGGAGTCCTGTAGCTCAGTGGTTAGAGCACTTGCCTCGCAAGTGAGAGACTGGGGTTCGATTCCCGGTAGGGCAAAACCTTGGACAAGTTTCCTTAACTCCACACACTTGATAATAATCCCTCAAGAAAAAAACCAATAAATTTTGGTTACTTGAATCCATGACTGTTTGTGGGACACTGCTGTGTGCAATTGGCTGCCGTATTTTGCCCACAAATATATAGTCAATCCACTTTACAGTATATTCTGTGAAGCGCTTTGAGATGTCTAGAAGACTTGAAAAGTGCTGTATCAAATGCAAGGATTATTATTATTTTATACAGTGCATCAGAATTCCTGTGTCTGCAGTGCTGAGAGGCAATCCCTGACTCCCGGTGTGAAACAGCATTAAAAATGGGGCATCTGCAGTAACCTTCCCTGGTCTGCCCTCAGTTCATGGTCTTCAAATTCCAACATGATCTCACCTACTCTCTCTGTGTGCAGCTTTATTCAACCAAAAAAATACCCAGTCACTATACTTTAAATTCTGTGAAGTGCTTTGGGGCGTCCTCCTGATATGAAAGTGGCTGAAAAGGATTATCATTATTTATTATTCTCTGCTCTCTTGACTCTGATCCTCTGCTTGCTCTCTACTCAACATTCCCCACTCCCTTTGTTTCTCCATTGGCCAAGCCTTCTGCCACCATGCATTTGTTGTATAAATACATGTTATAGGATGTATTTATCACCCTTGTATTCAAATCCCTCCACCCCTCTGCACCCCCTACCTCTGACCTCTCTCTTCAAAACAGTACCCGTTGCCTTCGTTCCTCCAGGTCTGGCCTCCTCCTCGTCCCCTGAGTCCTCCGCTCCACATTCGGCGGCCGTGCCTTCAGCCACTATGCCCCGAGGCTCTGGAATTCCCTTCCTCACTTCCTTCGCCTCGCTCCCTCTTCCTATTTTCAGGTCCCTGCTGAAGACCTTTCTCTTCGACCGCGTCTTTGGTCACCTTCCTCCCCATTCCCCTGGCTCGGCCCCGGGATCTGTTACTGTGAAGCACTCTGAGACGCCGTCCGTCGTGGAGGACACTATATAAATCCAAGTTGTTGTTGTTGTTATTCAGTTGAGCTCAATTCAGGCAGGGTGCAATTTATTCCAATGCCCCTAGGTGAGAGACGGGAAAATTAGATAGATTTCCTGGTGTCTAATGATTTTCTGCTGGAAAATTAGGCAAGTTTCCTTATTCCACATGCCTCTGTTTACATAACAGTAAGTAGGAACTATTTACTTAGTAAAGGTGGATCGCTTTCTGGGGTAATAATCCTAATCCCCCCCCCCCATCCAAGATGTTACAGTGCCCAATTGGCTGCCGCATTTCACCCACAAAATTACAGTAAATCCACTTTACAATAATATTCTGTGAAGCGCTTTTAAATGTCTCTGACATGATAAGGTGCTATATCAAATACAAGGATTATTATCATTAATAAGGTGTATGAATTTCAGGCGGTGACAGGATTGGATATTGCTGTAACGTTAGTGCTGTGGTTGAATATCCTGCTGACACTATCGAGAATGACTACTTAGATGAGATATTGTTGGGAGGGGGGGGGAGCGTGGCATTTCGAGGTTGTCTGCCCATTCAAGTAGACTTTAAAGAATTTAAAGAGTTTCTCCCACTCTCCAATCCAAGCAACAATCCTCCAGACATTTATTTAAATATTTATTTAAAATTATTTATGTTTCTGGGACCTTGCTGTTTATACGTAAATTTTAATATGAATGTTAAAATTTATAATTTTAAACAAATATTTTTTTAAATACAGATATTTATTTAAATATTATTTATTTAAAATGATAATAATAATCCTTGCATTTGATACAGTGCCTCATCATATCTTCGAAAAGTCTTAAAGTGCTTCACAGAATATCCTGTAAAGTGAATTGATTGTATATTTTGTGGGCAAAACGTGGCAGCCAATTGCGCACAGCAGTGTCCCACAAACAGTCGTGGATTGAGTGACCATATTTTTATTTTTTGAAGGGATTATTACACCCGGAAAAGCAATACACCAATCGATTAACAACCAAGTTCCTACTTATTGCTAGGTAAACAGAGGAGTGTGGAGTAAGGAAACTTGCCCCTCAACTATCTTGTTTGACCCTCAACTATCCTTTCTACCCCACATCCGTGCCATGACCCGCTCTGCCTTCACCCACCTCTGCAACATCACCCGGCTCCGCCACTGTTTCACACCATAGGCTGCCGAGACCCTCATACACACATTCATAACATCCAGGCTTGATTACACAAACTCCCTGCTTGTCGGTCTCCCCAAATCCTCCCTCCACAGACTGCAGATCATCCAGAACCCTGCCCTCCAGCCTCCCTGATCCCGACCCCCACCTCATGTCCAAAACATTGATTGTCCAGCACTTTGCGGCGTCCTCCTGACGTGAAAGGCGCTATACAAATATAATTTTGTTGTTGCCCAACGGTTCGCCCTGCCCCGGAATCGAACCCAGGTCCTCCTGCTTGCGAGGCGAGTTCTCTAATCACTAAGCTACAGGAGTGGTGCCATTATACAAAGCCTTGGACCAGAGAGGCTTCAGACGTAAGACCAACCGACTGACTAACTGACTGGTTGGTTGACCGACTGAATTCCGTTTTATTATTTTCCATTTGCCAATTCTGATCATGGCTTCCCTGAAAATCAGCCTCACACAATTCTCAATTCTGATTGCCTGGGAGCAGGAGGGGACAGGGGAAAGAGAGTTTTATGTTTATGGCACCTTGCTGTTTTATGTGTGGCTCCCACGTTTTCCTACACGTTACAGAAATATCTATAAAGTACTTTGAGCTGTTTCAACTTTAGTGCTATATAAAGTGCAACAATTATAAGACTATAACCTACAGAGTCAACACCATAAAGAATAATAACAATCCTTGCATTTGATATAGCGCCTTATGTTGTTGAGATGTTTCAAAGCGCTTCACCGAATTTACAGTACTGTAAAGTGGATTGACTGCATATTTTGTGAGTGAAACAGAAGAAAAACCTCTTCAGAGCATCTTATGTCAAAACATTCTACCCTAATTAACTAAGACTTTGTTTATTGTGGGAAACTGCAGAATCCATTTTACAAACTGCAAGCAGCCTGCACCTCTGGAAATTGAGTGCTCCCCCTCCAATAATGCACTGGATTAAAGTCCCCACACTGAATTCAAAGTCCCTATGTGCCTCTTTAATCTAAAACCATCTGACCCCGAAGTGAGAGTAGGAAATAGGGGAAAGAAAAAGAACTGGAATGATTAAATTCCTTATGGTAAAGCAGCTCTGCGTGTTAACTCTGTTGCCCTGAATCTGCATTCCATCGACATAAACAAGTGGGAGAGGGACAGAGACACCAGTTTTGCCAAATGCTAGGAAACAGTTAATGGAGCAATCATTTCTGAAATAACTGGGGATTTAGCAACTGGGTGGGTGACTCAGTCAGCTGGTGTGAGGAGCCATTTTTTCTGAAGTTAATCTTTGAACAGTTGAGTGGGTGCCTCGTGAGAGCTAATCTGAGGCCAGTGCCAGGAACACATTGAAAAACACACTGTGCTTCTTACACCCTGACCTCAGCAATTAGAGGGGCAGTGACGACTCGCACAGACGATTCTGTTGACATTCCTGCCCTGAGCAACCGGACACCTCGTGCAAATTATTTGACTTTTGTAAGNTTTTTTTTCCACGCAAATATCTTTTATTCTATCCTGTGCTTTGAGTGAATTCAAGCTGACTGACGGAACAACTGATCCAGGCCTCTGACGCAGACACAAACACCCACTGTTTGTCTAGTTTAACCTACACACTACTGGTTAGGCTTTTCCTCCTCCTTTCTCCCAAAACCCCCAAACTAATTATATATTAAATGCCATCGTACACCCCTCTGGCTTCTGGCTTCCTATCACCGAACGGATCGATTTCAAGATCCTCACACTCGTCTTCAAATCCCTTCATGCCTGGCACCTCCCTATCTCTCCGACCCGCTTACTCCATAAGCTGCTAGCTCCGGCCTCCTGCTTGCCCCTCATTCCCTCCATTCCACCATCGGTGCTGCGCTTTCAGCCACTATACCCCAAACTCTAGAATACTCTCCCTCTATCCATCTGCCTTGCCCATTCCTTCCCCATCTTCAGGTCACCCCTAGACTTTCCTCTTCAACCGTGCTTTCGGTTCCTCCCCTCTCCCTCCAGCTTGGCGTCACGCTCAAGCACTATGGGACACGATCCTGGGTGAGGTGTACTGTATAAATACAAGTTACGGTTATAATTCTTGATTATTAAGTACTATTATTATAGTGGATGTCAGCATGCGTGTTTGCGGGATGCTGCTGTACACAATCAACTCGCTTTCCAGTATAACCTGTGAAGAGCTTTGAAAAGTCTTGACAATGTAATAAGGCACTGTATCAAATACAAGGATTATTATTGTTTATTTAGGCACCATGCTGCTGGAGTTGGTTTTGACTGTGGCTGCTGCATCTCTCATTTACCTGCTGGTGTTCAGGAGGGAAAAGCAGACCCTACCTATGGGGGATGGGTGGTGGGGACCCGGCCAGCGGCCTGACAGCGAGGAGGATGAGAGTGTCTGTCCATTCCGGGTGGAGACTTCTGAGGAAGAGTTGAAGGTGAGTGTAGGGGCATGAACTGAAGGTCCACAATTAGCCTTGGATCTCCACTGTTTACATCTTTCTCTTCTCTGAAATTGTTCTCTTGTGCTGTCTGGGTAATGATTGGGATCAAATTCCACATCGGGAATTTGATCCAGTGCAGCACAGGGGTGTTGTTGCATTGGTGGAGATGCTGTCCTTTGGATGAGATATTAAACCAAGGTCCTGTCTGCCTGTTCAGATGGACGTTAAAGATCCCGTGGCACTATTCGAAAAGAGAAGAGAGTTTCTCTCCTCCAGTTTCCTGGCCAACAATCCCCCAAATAAAATTGTTCACTCATTCAATGGCTTTAAATTCCTGTGTGCAATTATGCTGCTGGGTTTGCTTACAAATACACAGTAAATTCTTTTCAAAGTAAATCCTGTGAAGCATTTTGAGATATCCTATCAATGTGATAAGGCCCTGCATCAAATGCAAGGATTATTATTATAATTTATTATGGCTGAGCTCAATTCACATTGATTCTGATATCTCTCGTTTCCACCCTCACACCCAGTAATATTACACTTCCTTTCCCCAGGACCTTCACCACCGGCTGGATGCCACCCGCCTGACCCCACCCTTGGAGGATGCCCGCTTCCACTACGGGGTTAACAGTCATTACCTGAGGAAGGTGCTCGACTACTGGAGGAATCAGTTTGACTGGAAGAAGCAGGTGGACATTCTGAACAGCTTCCCACACTTCAAGACCCGCATTGAAGGTACGGACCCCCTCATTCCACCCCCAATAACCCACTTTATTCCTGGCTCAATCTCAGGGGAGTAGAATGTGTAGAGGGAGCTTTACTCTGTACCTAACCCATGCTGTTATCCATGCCATTTTGTAGAAGTAAAGTTGCTGTTGTGTGGGAGAATCTCAGTTACTGTATTTACAGCTGATCATGTCCGCCTGGTGGTGAAAGGCCAATCTGGTAGGAATTATTTTTCTCTGTCAGGACCCTTGACCTCACCAGTTAACCTGTGACTTTTGCTCCCCTTCCCCGCAGGAATCGAGGTGCACTTTGTCCATGTGAAGCCGGGTCGGTTGCCGGGGGAACGGGACGCCATACCCCTACTGATGGTCCATGGCTGGCCTGGCTCCTTCTACGAGTTCTACAAGATCCTCCCTCTGCTCACGGAGCCCGAGGCTCATGGCCTGAGCCAGGAGCATGTCTTCCAGGTTGTCTGTCCCTCCATCCCTGGCTACGGCTTCTCCGAGGCCCCACATAAGAAAGGTGAGCGCTCCCGCTTCCTCAGTCACAACAACACAGTGATGGCAGTGGGGGAGGGTGTATGTGTGTTGTAAAAATTAATATTTATGCTGGGAAAGATTTGCGAATTGTGGGGTCCTGTAGCACAGTGGTTAGTGTGTTCGCCTCATAAGCGAGAGGAACCTTGGTTCGATTCCCGGGTGGAGCAAACCCTTAGGCAAGTTTCCTTACTCCACGAGCCTCTGTTTACCTAGCAGTAAGTAGGAACCTAGTTATTAGTCGATTGGCAGATTCTTTTCCGGGGGTAATAATCCCCCATTTTAAAAAAAAATTTAATAAGTTTCATCACTCAAACTGTTTGTGGGACACTGCTGTGCACAATTGGCTGCCGTGTTTCAACCACAAAATATACAGTCAATCCACTTTACAATATATTCTGTGAAGCGCTTTGAGGTGTCTCAACGATGTGATAAGGAGCTATATCAAATGCAAGGATTATTATTATTATTATCGTCATATCTCCACCTCTCCCGCAGGTTTTGATACAGTCAGTGCTGGTCGGATCTTTTATAAACTAATGCGAAGACTGGGCTTCCAGAAATTCTATGTTCAAGGTGGGGATTGGGGTTCGATGATCTGCATCAACATCGCACAGATGGCTCCTAGGTATGTCCACCCGGTCATGTCTCTTTTCACGTCATATTTGTGAAGTCAACTTGAAAGGCACTAATTTTATTTTGGGTTCACCTGGGTGTCTGACATGCAGAAACCCATCACCATGCACCAGAGTATCCAAACAAAACTTAGATTTCATCACACCTACAAAAGGAAATCCCAGAGATAGATTGTTGGAATGGAATGCGAATTCGCTCCCTGGAGGGAGACATCCTGCTTACCTAATTCCAGAAATAGTAGGCACAGGTTGGCAACAGCCAATACCCCAGAGTGTGTGTTAGGGTAACTGCTGGAGTCTAACCAGCTAAAACCACATAGCTTGCCACTGATATCTCTGTCTGGCAAGCTTTTTCTATATAAGACGCTATAAAAATGTAAATTCTTGTTTGTTCTCCGTCTTTCCTTCAGTCCCAATTTAAATAATAAAATAAGCATCTTATCATTTTGTCAAAACATCTCACTGTGCTTTGCAGGATTTACTATAAAGTATAGTAGTACACAGTGATGTTAGTCAAATCCTCTTTGACCATGCCATCGGCCACCCCCCTTCCCCTCCCTTCTCCCACCCTGACACCAGCTCAGGTCTGAAATGCTGTACACTGTCCAGCGCCTTGGGACGTCCTCCCGATGTGAAAGGCATTATACAAATGTAATTTTCTTGTTGTAGCTTTCCAGGGGCATTAATCCCTCCAAAAGTTAAAACAACAAAATCCAATCCTGTTTGTGTGACACTGCTGTGAACAATTGGCTGCCGCGTTTTGCCCACAAAATACAGTCAATCCACTTTACAATGTATTCTCAGAAGCGCTTTGAGACGTCTCAACAGTGCTATATCAAATGCAAGAATTATTATTAATAGTAGTAGTAACTAATATAGTGATATAAGTAGGCGAATGCTTCGTTCCTTCCTCACTGTAACACTCTAATATTATATTCAGCTGTGATCTAATAGAATGGCAGAACAGGCTGAGAGGCTGAATGCCCTACTCCTGTTCTTATGTTCCTATATAACATCCCACTCATAGTAGCACTCTGATATAACACCCCCCTCATTGTAACACTTTAAGTCGTGCCCGAGTTATTTCTAGTCAATCATTGAACAAACGTTCTGTTTACACAGTGCAACAACAACAACAACAAGATTACATTTGTATAGAGCCTTTCACATCGGGAGGATGTCCCAGGGCGCTAAACAGTGTACAGCATTTCAGACCTGAGCTGGGGTCAATGGTGGGGTGGGTGGGTCAGGGGAGTTGGTAAGGCTGACAAGAGGAGCGTTTGCATAGTTGAACCTGGAGGTGATGAAGGCATGAACAAGAGTTTCAGCGGCCTGAGGGGTGAGGTAGTGGCAGAGTCGGGCGATGTTATGGAGTTTAGGGAAGACAGAGTGGGTCATGGCTAGGATGTGGAGAAGAAAAGAAAGTTGAGTCGTGCAAAGTCCATGAATGGCAGAAATTAATTATTTCTCACAGTCTAAACAGGCAGCGTAGTGTAAACGTCTTATTTCAAGGTCAGTACACCAAGACCCCAAACTGATCTCTATCTAATCTTGTCCATCAGACCATATCACTTCACCGCTGTTTGTGGGACTTTGCTATGCTCAAAATAACTGCCGTGTTCGTCTACAAAATACACAATAATTACTCTATACATTAATTATTCTATACATTTAAATCCTGTGAAGTGATGTAAGACATCTTTCCGATATGAAAGGTACTGTAACAGATGCAAAGATTATTAATATATTGTTGTCAAAATTTGAGATGGCTTAGGATTGTTTATAAATTCAGGTTTTGTTTGGAAGCCGGTTGCCTGCAGTTCATAAAAAGAAACCAAACCAAAGGTTTTCAAATGAAGAGAGAATTGAAGAACTTTCAACATTTATGAGCCATCTTAAATTTTAAGACAAAATGGCCTCACAGCCTGAATCCAGGTGGAATTTCGGGGCATGGGTGACTTTAAAAGATGTGACATGGTTAATGAGGGGGTTCAGACTGAAACATTCCCATTCATAATAACAACACTTCCGCAACAGTTTTCACACAGGAATTGCAAAGCATTTTACAGAAGCAATGGGGGAGCTGGAAGCTAGTGGAGCCTGTTGAGGATTGGGGTGATAAGTGTGGAGGTCTGATGAGGATGTAGGTGACAGGCATTTCTAGTCTGGTGAGGATGTGGGTAATGAGTTTTGGCCTGGAATCCACCTTGATTGGTTTGAAGCTGCTGCTTAAACTCCGCACCTCCAACTGGTGGAAACTTCGCTCAGTGGTGCGTCCGAGCTACAGACAGGAAGATGGTGGCAATGACCTCATACATTTCATGCTGAGCTGTGTTGGCCACTGGGACGCTCTCAGGGAATTCCTGGTACCTGCCATCCACCTAGTGAGGGCTCAAACCCATGTTTGTCAGATGTTGAACGACCAACTAGTGACTATCCTGCTCAGGGGAAGGTAAGTGGGGTCTCCTAAGAGCTGAACTGGCCCCAAGGTTCCATGTTTGGCAAAGGAATGTTGGAATTGAGCCCTCTGTGGCAGTGACAGTAGTTCATGTCCCCAGCCGGCAGGTCCACAGTATTCCAGGGCACAGCTGATGACAGTTCAACCAGCCTGGCTCATCAGCAGGGCATTGGGGGCAGGGAGTCATTCCACTCAGCTCTAATAGGTAGGGTGATCCTAGCTGGGTCCAAGCAGCAGGAAAGCTTGCTCGACAGTGCCATTGGTGGCAAACTATGTGGTTTTTAGCTGGTTAGACTCCAGCAGTACCCCAACGCACACTCTGGGGACCACGAGCATTGGCTCTTGCCAACCTGCGCCTAATACTTAGGTAAGCGGGAGGCGTCCCTCCAGAGAGAGAGTGCGCATTCCATTCCAACAATCTGTCTCCAGAATTCCCACGTGCAGGTGGCATCATGGAATTCTCAATTTGGTTTGGATGCTCTTAAGCACGGTGATGGGTTTCTGCATGTCAGACACCCAGCTGAACCCCAAAAAATAATGGGTTTCAGAGCTTGGCAAGAATGGGGGAAATGTGTTTGCAGAGGATGGTGGCAGGGATCCTGTCGATGATGGGGTTAATGGATGTTCAGTTCCACAAGAGTGCGGGGTGAATGTGTGTGAATATTAAATCCATTACTAATAGCCATTGTTATTACTTTACACACAGTCATGTCCGGGGCCTCCATGTGAACTTTGTGCCTTTAGCGCAAGGTTGGCTAGTGCAGCTTCTGTCTCTGATGTTTGGGCGCCACTTGCCTGCCTTGTTTGGCTTTGAGGAGGAAGATCTGAAGCGCTTGTTCCCGTTTATGGAGAAAGGCTTTTACCACATACTGAAGGAGTCGGGATACTTACACATCCAGGCAACCAAACCTGACACTATAGGTGAGAAAAATCCCAATCTCCCCGCAGTCCCAGCCGTGAATCCCCACCCCAGCTACAACAGTAATAACTTGCAAATACATAGCGCCCTTCATGCTGGGCATCAAGGAGCGCTTAACAGCAGCGGAGTCAGAGGGAGGGAGGACAGTCAAAGAGGAAGGTCTTCAGTCGTGATTTTAAAGAGGGTAATGAGGGAGCAAGACGGAGGGATTGAGGGAGAGAGTTCCAAAGCATCGGGGCATAGTGACTGAAAGTGCGGCCATCAATGGTGGAGTTGCAAATCAGACAAACCCGAATTGTAGTTACAAACCTGAGACAGAGGTCAGCCTGGCTCAGTTGGTATTACTCTCACCGCTGAGTCAGAATATTGGGGTTCAAGTCTAGGCTGACACTCCACTGTCGTGCTGGATTGTACTACATTGTCAGAGGTGCCGTCCTTCAAATGAGATGTTAAACTGAGGTCCTGTCTGTGCCTCTTCAGGTGGTCAAAAACAAAAGGGAGGTTCACTCAGTGTCCAAATAAAGTTAGTCATTCACTTCACGGCTATTTGTGGAACGGCTGTGCGCAAACTGGTTTACAAACTGGCAAAATTACACAGTCTCTACAGTTTTCGGTAAAATCATATGAAGTGTTTTGAGACATCTTCCTGATGTCAAGCGCTCTGGAACACTACCCTGCATGAGGGTCTCTATATAAATTTTTTATTGTGAAAGATATATCAAAAGTAAGAATTATTATTATAAATTTTACAATCTGTATTTTCTCTTGAATTGTTTTCTATATTAGTGCTCGATGTAACCTCCCTCCCTCCTTCCCCTCAGGGTTTGGGCTGAACGATTCCCCTGCTGGCCTGGCCGCTTACATAATGGAGAAGTTTTCAACCTGGATTAATCCAGAATTCCGAGACCTGGAAGATGGCGGATTGGAGAGGTGAGACGTAGCAATCCGAGAGAAAGCTATTCAATTAATTCCTCCCTTCGTCCATTCCCCTTCCTTACTCTACCTAGCAATAAGTGGGAACCCGGTTTTTAGTCAATTGGCGGATCGATTTCCATGGGTAAAAATCCCTCCAAAAAAAATCCACGTCTGGGGACACTGCTGTGCATGATTGGCTGCCGGCCACAAAATACACTGTCAATTCACTTTACAATATATCCTGTGAAGTGCTTTGAGATGCCTCAATTACGTGATAAGGCGCTTATCAAAAGGATTATGACATTATTATTATACATTCCACTTCTTTCCATCTCCCTTCCTTCCCTCTCTCACTACCTCTCTTCCTCCCTCTCAATTTTGAGGAGTGGAAAATTTACTCCGTTCACTTCTCTCAATTTCTACCTCAACTGTCTGAATGGATGCAGATGATCCATTCCAAGGCCACACATGCAAAGACTCGCCACTTGACTGGGGTATTGAGACCTCATCCCAGCACCAATTAACATGTGGACTATAATAATCGTTGCATTTGATAATAATAATAATAATAATCCTTGAATTTGATATAGTGCTTTTCACGTCGGGAGGACGTCCCAAAGCGCTTCACAGAACACACTGTAAAGTGAATTGACTGATATTTGGGGGCGAACGCGGCAGCCAATTGCGCACAGCAATGTCCCACAAACAGTCGTAGATTGAAAATGACCAATTTATTATTGTTGTTTTTTTGGAGGGATTATTATTAGGCTCTGTGTGGAGTAAGGAAACTTGCCCAAGGTTTTGCCCTGCCGGGAATGGAACTCAGGTCTCTCGCTTGCAAAGCGAGTGCTCTAACCACTGAGCTACAGGACTCCACTATGATGTGAAATCTTCAAAGGAAAAGGACAAACTTAAGTACAGACAAAATGATAATCTCAACAAGGTAGGACAGTTGAAGAGTGGCATACTGCTACTTCAGGGAAAATTAAGTGACTCACTAGCCCAGATAAGGTTCAGTTGGTGATCCTGCAACCTCAACTTTCGCCAGTGGTACAAGGAGCAATTCAAATGAGATGAAAGGTTATTCATAGACTTTCTCTGATCAACAATTTGAAATCATAAAGAGGATGGAGAAAGAGGCATCACTGAGCATAGATGCAAATCTCTTTATAACATTTAGGAATATGCGTAAATTCACCAAAGGCTGAGGATTCTGGGAGGATGAGATCAAATGAGCTAAAGTGCCTAGTTGATTCAAACCAATCTTGTGAACTATTTTTGTGAATCCTGGACCAGACATTTTGCAATAACATACAGAGATGTTTTCATTTTTTTACTCTGAATATTTTGAGGAATGTGAACAATTTCTATGTAGAATGAGACTAAAAAGCAAATTTGTGTCACATCATGGGGAGTCCATAAAAATACTGCTTTGTTGGCTCCCTCCACCTAGTAATTGAAATTTAATGCATCAGTATCAAGTTGGCAAAGACGGGTCTGAATATCTTTCTTTATAACATGTAAAAAGTGCAACTATATTCTTTCCATATGAAGCATATTATTTATAGAAAATATTTTAATCCTAAACTTCAACTATATTTTTACCTACTGATGGTGGTTCTGCTTCTTGGTAAAAGAAAGTTAGTGCTTTGGTACCTCCTTTGGAAACGAAATCCTCAAAAGGTTTGAACTGTCACAAAATAGTGCTTGTCATGTTATTTAGATGTCTTAAAGTGCTTCACAGAATATACTGTAAAGTGAATTAACTGTGTATTTTGTGGGCGAAATGTGGCAGCCAATTGCGCACGACAGTGTCCTACAGACAGTTGTGGATTGAGTGACAAAATCATTATTTTTTATTAATTTTTGAAAGCGATCCATCAATCAACTAACTATCGGGTTCCGACTTACTACAAGGTAAACCGAGATGTGTAGAATAAGGAAACTTGCCTAATATTTTGCCTTGCACGGGAATCGGACCCGGGGCTTCTTGCTAGCGAGGCAAGTGCACTAACCACTACCCTATAGCACTGGAAGAAATTGGGGGTTGGGTTAGACACTCATTCCCACCTTCAGGATTTTTTTAAAAACGGATTATTACCCCCAGAAAAGCGATCCGCCAATCGACTAACCAACCCATGATGTCTGTCTGTTCAGGTGGACATTAAAGATCTTGTGACACTATATGCAAAGAAAAGGGAGTTTCTCCCAGTAACCGAGCCAACAATCCCTGATAATAAATTGATCACTCACACCTTGCTTTGCGCAAAATATCCCAATTAGCCTATAAAATTAGAAGAATTAGAAGTGATCTTATAGAAACCTATAAGATTCTTAAGGGTCTTGACAGGGTAGACAGTGAGAGACTGTTTCCCCTGGTTGGAAAATCTAAAATTAGAGGTCATAGTCTCAGGATTAAAGGCCAGCCTTTTAGAACTGAGTTGAGGAAACATTTCTTCACTCAGAGGGTAGTGAATTTATGGAATTCTCTACCATAGAATTCATTGGATGCTCAGTCATTGAATATATTCAAGACTGAGATCGATAGATTTTCAAAAACTAAAGGGATTAAGGAATATGGGGATAGGGTGGGTAAATAGAATTAGGTTAGAAGATCAGCCATGATCTTATTAAATTGCGGGGCAGGCTCGAGGGGCGGAATGGCCTACTCCTGCTCCTATTTCTTATATAAAATACACAGTCGCTACACGTGACAGGTGTTCCCTGGGAAGGGATTTGGGATGGTTCTATGTTACAAACTGTATATCCCTAGTTCTTGTAATTTAACCTTTGAACTTACCCACCACAGAAAGTTGTCATTGGATGAGCTGCTGACCAACGTCATGATTTACTGGGTGTCGGGAACGATTGCCTCATCCATGAGGTTCTACAAGGAGAATCTGGGAAATGGCATCGGCAACAACCTGCATGAGAAGTGAGGAGAGGGGCGAGAGTGGGTGAAGGGAGGGATTGCCTCAAGGTGGCACAGTGTAGCCCCTTAGGGTAATGGTTAGAGCATTAGCCTTGCAAGCGAGAGGATCCAGGTTTGATTCCTGGGTGGTGTGAAACCTTCGGCAAGTTTCCTTACTCCACACTCCTCTTATTATTTATTATGTTACAGCAATCCTTCCCCACCCACACAGACATTGTCATTGTGGAGAGGCATGGGTTAATGGGTGTGAAGTGTATAATGAAGGGGAGGCGGTGGGAGTGGGGGATGGGCGGCGGTGGGAGTGGGGGATGGGCGGCGGTGGGAGTGGGGGATGGGTGGCGGTGGGAGTGGGGGATGGGTGGTGGGGGAGGGGTGGCGGGGGGGCTGATGGGTGTGCATTGGGGTTGGGGAGAGCTGTTGGGTGTGTGAGGGAGGGGTTATGTGTATGTGAGGGGTTAATGAATGTTGTATGTTTCAGGATACCCGTGCAGGTGCCGACCGGAATCGCAGCGTTTCCTCACGAGCTGTTGCACATACCCAGACTCTGGGCGCGGCAGAAATTCCCCAACATCGTGCGCTACAGCTTCCTGCCCCGCGGAGGCCACTTCGCAGCCTTCGAGGAGCCGGCGTTGCTGGCAGATGAGATCCACGAGTTTGTGGCTACGGTGGAACGTGTATGAGCAAAGGTGAGGATGGAGAGAAGCAAGCGGAGCCCCGAAGCTCATACACGTTATGGGAATGTGCCCAGCGGCATAACAACAAACACAACAAATTACATTTGTATAGCATCTTTCACGTCAAGAGGATGTACCAGAATTTATACATCGTTAATCAGCTAAATAAATTGTACCTGATAAAACATTCCAGAGTACTTTAGAGTCACACTTTATTATTATAATAACATTACGTGTAGTGATTGTGTATTTATATTCAGAGAGACCTCTTCAAAGGTACACAGGGAGAAGTTATTGCCACTGGTCGGTGAGTTGGTACCGAGAAGGCATCGATCTAATATCATCATCAATAAAACCAGGCAGAGGTGAGGAGTGTTTAATTTACACAGAGGATTATTAGGACATGGAATGCCCATCGTTGAATCAGAATCTATAGTTTTTAAAAGGAATTAGACAAATATTTCAAAGGAATAAATATAAAAGGGTTGTGGGGTCTCCTTGAAGCTGAACTGGCTCCAAAATGACATGCTTGGCAACAGAATGTCGGAATCGAGCCCTCGGTGGCGGTCTTGGTAGTCCGGTTCCTGGTCTGCAGTATTCCAAGGCACTGCTGATGACAGTACAGTCAGCCTGGCTCATAGCAGGAGCTGGAAGGGCAGACCAGTCACTAGGGGCAGGGAGTCATCCCACTCAGCTCCTGTTAACACTGCACGCCAAACTGGTAGGGTGGTCCTAGCTGGACAAGCAGCAGGAAAGCTTTCCAGACAGTGCCCTCAGTGACAAGTTATCCAGTTTTTTGGTTAGACTCCAGTTCTACCCCAATGCACACTCTGGAGTCTTTAAGCCTTGGCTGCTGGCAACCTGAGCTTAATACATTCTGGAATTAGGTAAGAGGGAGCGAGGCGAAGGGAGTGAGGAATGGAGTTCCAGAGCCTCAAGGCATAGCGGCTGAAGGCATGGCCACCGAGGGTGGAGCGGAGGACTCGGAGGAGGCCAGACCCAGAGAAATGAAGGCAACAGGTACTGTTTTGAGGAGAGAGGTCAGAGAGGTACGGGGGTGCAGAGGAGTGCAGGAACTTGAATACAAGGGTGAGGATCTTGAAATCGATCCTCTCTGGGATAGGCAGCCAGTGCAGTCTGGCAAGGACTGGGGTGATCTGGGAGCGGTGTTTGGTGCGGGTGAGAATCTGGGCGGCAGAGTTTGGAATGATCTGGATTTTATGGATGGTAGTGGATGGGAGACCGGCGAGGAGGGCATTAGAATAGTCCAGCCGAGAGATGACAAAGGCATGGACCAGGGTTTCAGCGGATTAAGAGTGAGGTATTGGCAGAGACGGGCGATGCGTCGGAGGTGGAAGAAAGCGGTGCTGGTGAAGGACCGGATATGGGGGAGGAAGGATAATTGGGGGTCGAACCTGACGCCTAGGTTGCGTACAGGTTTGGAGAGTTTTAGGGGGCGGTCAGGTGGGTGGAGGAGGTGAGAGCCATGAGATTTTAGACGTTGACGAGAGCCAAAGAGTATGGCTTCTGTCTTGTCGACGTCCGGCTAAAGGAAATTTGCGCTCATCCAGCCCTTGAGATCTGACAGGCAGGCTGACAGAACATCAGGGGACTGGGGGTCGCAAAGAGAGGTGTAAAAATAGAATTGGGTGTCATCTGCATACATGTGGAAGTGTACCCCATGTCTGCGGAGGACATCCCCAAGAGGGAGCATATAGATCAGAAAGAGGAGGGGGCCAAGGATGGATCCTTGGGTACCCCGCCGGTGACCGGATGTACCCCATGTGGGAGAAGCCTCCCACATGGGGTACATCTCTTCAACCACAGCTGAACTATAAATTTGTATGAAGAATGTTCTCTAGTTGGTGGTGGTGGGGGGGTAATTTCGACACACTGATTTTCGAGGAACGAGGACAAAACTGTGCGTCTGTTCAGAATTCAAATGTTGGAGGAAACCGTGAAGGTAATGTCGAGTATCAGTCCCGAGGAGCCAAGTCTTGCGAGTAGGGAGGAGCTAATTTTGTTTTACTATTTTGCTCCCTCCCTTGTCTCCTTCAAGGCCCGTCTCAAGACCCTCCTTTTCAACTGCACCTTCGGTCACCCTCCTACCCTTGCCCTCCAGGCCCCTGATCCCAACCCCCAGCTCGGGTCCAAATCCTTTACTGTCTAGAGCCTTGGGACATCTCCCCAACTTGAAAGGTGCTATATAGTTCAAATGTAATTTCCTGTTGTTCCAAATCTTTCCACTCCCACTACGTTCCTCTTCCTCTTGTTCACCACGGACCTCGGACTGTTACTTGTTTGCTTCCTGGTTTCCCACCAGGCTCCCAGGACCATCCCGATGGGAGAGGGTTGGTGGGGCGCAGGGGAGCGCCCAGCCCGGGGGAGCGAAGACAAAAGCATGCGTCCGTTCAGAATTCAAATGTTGGAGGAAACCGTGAAGATAATGTCGAGTTTCAGACCCGAGGAGCCAAGTCTTGAGAGTAGGGAGGAGCTAACTCACGCTGTTTTCTTTTTGGTCAGCAGCCTGTCTGACATGTGCAAAAACCCATCACCATACTTAAGCGTATCCAAAGCAACCTGAGAATTGCAGTCATCCCACCTATACATGGAAATCCCAGAGACAGATTATTGGAATAGAATGCACACACTCTCCCTGGAGGGACACGTCCTGCTTACCTAATTCCAGAAAGTATTAGGCACAGGTTGGCATGAACCAAAGCTTGGGGACCCCAGAGTATGGGTTGGATACTGCTGAAGTCTAACCAACTAAAATCCCCCAATCTGACTCTCTCGCTCTCTCCCCTCTTTGGTGGTATGTCTTTAAGACATGCTTTTGGTCATCTTTCCCCTAACCCCTCACTCAAGTGACCATCATTAACATTTCAATTGCCTACTCTGTGCTAAGTTACTGAATTTGACCAGAGGCAAGAGTCAGGCTTACAATTGGCCTCAGCACTCCCTGAGTTAAAGGAGGCACCAAATCAGCCAGTGTTTACATGCTCCCGATTACTGAGTCTGTATACCTCACCCCTCAGACCGCTGAAACTCTTGTTCATGCCTTCATCACCTCCAGGCTCGACTATGCAAACGCCTTCCCAACTCCTCCCTCCACAGGCTGCAGATAATCCAGAACTCTACAGCCCGTGTCCTCTCCTGCACCAAACGCCATGATCCCATCTCCCCCACTCTCACCCAACTCCACTGGCTCCTTATCCTTCAGAGGATCCAGTTCAAGATCCTGGTTCTCACCTCCAAAGCCCTCCATGGCCTCGCTCCACCCCACCTCTGCAACCTCCTAACCCCCTACCAACTTGCCCGTTCCCTCCGCTCAACCAGCTCTGGCCTGCTCCATGTCCCCCGCCCCACCATTGGCGGGAGAGTCTTCAGCCACTCTGCCCCCAACCTCTGGAATTCCATCCCCCAGTCACTCCGCCTCACCCCCTCCTCCTTAGCCTCCCAAGTCCCACCTCAAGACCCTCCTCTTCGACCATGCCATCGGTCACCCCCCTTCCCCCCCAACCCCCAGCTCGGGTCTGAAATGCTGTCCAGCACCTTGGGACGTCCTCCCGACGTGAAAGGCGCTACACAATGTAATCTTGTTGTTGTTGTTGGGTGAGTGGTGCATTAACACCTAGCCCACCAGAGGGCAATGCAGTTTTGTGTAGATTGTCCTGGCGTTTTACAGAACTACCCAGAGACTGTTAAACAGAAACTGTTACAGCACCCAGGTAGTTGGGCAAATGTACATTTTTACTGCACAGCATTGACTTCAGTGGTCCTAAGAGTGACTGGGATTAAGATAATGTGAGTAGCCAAAAGGGGAGTTTTTTTCCTGCAATGTGTACAGGACTCTTCTTAAATCAGTTTGTTTCTAGTCCAGCTAGGGAGGGGCAGATCTTACAAAATTGTAATAATCCCCAAAGGATAGAGTTCAAAATCCTTCTCATCACTTTTAATAATAATAATGCTTGCATTTGATATAGCACTTATGTCTTTAAGCTGTCTCAAAGCGATTCACAGAATACTGTATATTGTAAAGTGAATTGACTTGTGTATTTTGTGGGTGAAAAAAAAGGTTACCAGTAAGTAGTAAGTAGGAACCTGGTTGTTAGTTGATGGGCAGATCGCTTTTGCAGGGGTAATGTTCCCTTCAAAAAATAATAATAATTTGGTCACTCAATCCAGGACTGTTTGTGGGACACTGCTGTGTGCAATTGGCTTCCTTGATTCGCCCACAAAATATAGTTAATTCTATTACAGTCTATTCTGTGAAGCGTTTTGAGACGTCTAGAAGACGTGAAAAGCGCTGTGTCAAATGCAAGGATTATTATTATGTCTGGAGTTCAGATTACTTATTTTTTTAATTTACAACTGTAACTATTTTGCTTAAAACTCTAATATTCAGGCGGACGTTAAAGATCCTGTGACATTATACGAAAAGAGAAGGGAGTTTCTACATAACATAAGAAATGCTAGACAAAAAAAGATCAAGGTCCATCTCGTTCGCCTTCCACCTTCCTGGCGGTCGCATGCACATATGTTCCAAGCTATCTGTATAGCACGATAAGCGCTATATCCCATAATGTTATTTCCTAAAAGAAAACTATTTAATCTGTGTTTGAAAAATCAACACTTCCTACTTCAACTGTCTTTCTAGGGAGCCTGTTCCACAGGTTCACTATTCGCTCACTGAAATAGTGTTCACATAGATTTATTCTGAATTTGCCCCCTTCAATCACTGGCTGTGTCCTCCGGTTCTACTATTCTGGACAAGTTGTTACAGCCTGTCATGATCTATATTGTTTTGCCCCTTTAGATCTTTTGATACATCCCAACCCAGAAATTCAGTTTCTCCAGTTTCCTGGTGGAGCTGGTGAGCCCGGTGAGGTGGGCATTTGAATAATCGAGTCGGGAGGGAGGTGAATGCATGGACGAGTGGAACCCTTCTACCCCCACCCTCCCTGCCCTCCACCCCTCTTGATCCCAGCCCCCAGTTCGGGTGCAAATCCTTGACTGTCCACGCCTTGAGACGCCTTTCTGACGTGAAAAGCAATATATAAATTGTTGTTGTTGCAGCATATTTACCCTGGACGAGCTTCTGACCAACGTGATGATTTACTGGGTGACCGGCTCTATTACCTCCTCCATGCAATTCTACACAGAAAATCTGAAGGGGAACCCCATCGACCGCATTGACGGCAAGTGAGTCATTCCAGCATTCACCCCCCTCCTCTCTCCTCTCCCAAACGAAGGAATGGAGGGACCGTTACTCGGTATCTAACCGGTGCTGTAGCTGACCTGGAAGTGCTGGAAGGACAGCCTGGAGGCAGCTTTACTCTGTGACTAAGCTGTGTGGAGTGGACCTCAGCACTAACACCTCCTTCACCTTCAGACCACAAAATTCAGCAGCAAAAGAAATATAGAACTAAAGCCAAAATCTTGACACAATGCTCAGCTTTTTTTTTGTCAGCCGGGTGTCTGACACATGTGTAAACCCATCACCATGCTTAACAGTTTCCAAGCCAAGCTGAGAATTTCATGCATCCCACCTACACATGGAAATTACAGTTATTGTTGGAATGGAAGGCACTCTCTCTCTGGAGGGAAGCATCTTGCTTACCTAATTCAATGGTCACTATTTGAATATCGAATTAGATACAAAGAGACTATGTCCTCTGGTGGGGGAATTCAGAACAAGAAGGCATAATCTTAAAATTAGAGATAGGCCGTTTAGGATTCAAATCAGGAAGCAATTTATTCACACAGAAGGTAGTGGAAATCTGGAACTCTCTCCCCCAAAAGGTCGTGGATGCTGGATCCATTCAAATTTACAAGACTGAGGTGGATAGATTTTTGTTAGGTCTGGGTATCAAGGAATATGGAGCAAAGGCTGGTAAATGGAGTCAAGGTACAGGAGAGCCATGTTTCGCTTTTAAGATTCAAAATTATTTTTTCCTGCTTGTTGCTGGGTGTATAGGGTTGAGTGTGTGTAGTGGGGAGGCTTGCCTAGGGTTTTGCCCTGCCCGGGAATTGAACCCGGGTCCTCTGACTTGTGAGTCGAGCACGCTGGCCACTACGCTATGGGACTCCACAATAATCCCTCCAAAGAAAATGTGTTCATCCAATCCACGACTGTTTGTGGGACACTGCTGTGCGCAATTGGCTACCGTGTTTTACCCACAAAATACAGTCATTACACTTTACAGTGTATCCTGTGAAGTCTTGAAGACTTGATAAGGTGCTGCATCAAATGCAAGAATTATTATTATTATCTAATCGAATGGCCGAACAGGCTTGAATGGCTGAATGGCATACTGCTGTTCCTATGAATGCTCAGCTCTTATTTTTTGTTTCTCCGCCTCTAGAGTCGAGACCTATATTCCCACTGGGCTGGCTGCCTTCCCCCAGGAGGTGGGACACATGCCGCTAGTGTGGGCGAAGCAGATGCAGAAGAATGTGCTCAGTTACTCCTACATGGCCCGGGGCGGTCATTTTGCAGCATTCGAGGAGCCGGGGTTGTTGGCTGAGGACATCCGGAGGTTTGTCCAGATGGTGGAGAAGAGAGCATGAGTGCGATGGTGCTGGGTCACTGAAGCGCTGGGATTTCCCCCTGGAACGCCCAGCATCCACCCACTTCCCCCGGAGCGCCTGGAATTCCCCCCAGAACATCCGAATCCCCCACTCCTACCCCAGAGTGACGTCTGCTCTCAGCTGCAAAACTGGAAATAAGCCTGAAATCAAATCCGTGGGGGGAACTGTGCTCCACTGAGAAAACTATCACAAACATCGCAACTAGCTGTTAGCTAGCTGGTCTTCACATGCTGAGCGCAATTCATATTATATTAATTGTCTGCTGTGTTTCGCCCTCAAAATAAAGTAATTCCACTTTAGAATATACTCCTATAAAGTGCTTTGAGACATCTCACCAACATGATATATCACATACAGGGATTATTATAAATTATGTTTGTACTGGCAGCTGTCAATTCTAACAATTCGAATGTGGGGCATCACAGTTGGGCTCGACCCTCCCACATGTGGCATCTTAAATATGATCCCCCTCCAGCAGCTGGGGGAGGGGAGGTGTGCGTGGCATTTCTTCAGCTAAGATCAGGGAATCTAGCATACACTGAGGATCTTCTTTGTTTTCAAGATGTAGACATGTCTGCATCCCCGGCCTCTACCCATCCATCCATCCCTCCCTCCACACCTTTGAATCTGTCTCCCCCTCCTCTCTCATCACTACTATAACCCGCATGAAACCGAACATCTGCTCCCTCAACCCCATCCCTACTCTCCTTACCTCCCAGTTTCACCTCCTTGCCCCTCTACTCACAGACTTCATAAACCTCTCGCTGTCCACTGGTACTGTTCCCACCCCATTAAAAACCACCGTCATCACTCCTATCCTTAAAAAACTCTCCCTTTCCTCTCCAAGGACCTGGAACGAGTTGTTGCTTCCCAGCTTCGCTCCTTCCTCTCCTGCCACTCCCTTCACGAACCCCTCCAATCGGGTTTCCGTGCCGCCACAGCACAGAAACAGCCCTGATCAAAGTGACAAATGACATTCTGTCCATGTGCGACCAGGGCTCCCTCTGCCTCCTCGTCCTCTCTGCTGCCATCGATACCGTCGACCACTCTATCCTCATCCACTACCTGTCCTCTCGCCCCAACCTTCACGGCTCTGTCCTTTACTGGTTCAGATTGTACCTCTCACACCGCCTCTACTTCATCTCCACACACGGTTTCTCCTCTAGCCCTCACGCCGTCTTGTGCGGCATTTCTCACAGAATAGACCGTAAAGTGGACTGAACTGTATACTCCAGAGGATACAGTTCAAGATCCTGGTCCTCACCCTCAAAGCCCTCCGTGACCTCGCTCCCCCCCCCCCCTACCTCTGCCACCTCCAAAACCCCTGCTTGCTCCCTCCGCTCAGCGGGCTCTGGCCTGCCTCAGGACCCCGCACTGCTCAGCCCACTATTGGCGGGCAGACCTTCTGCCACTCTGCCCCCCGCCTCCGGGACTCCATCCGGCAGTCCCCCCGCCTCGCCCCCTCCCCCGCCACCTTCAACACCCATCTCAAGACCCTCCTCTTCGACCGTGGTTCCAATCTCCCCGCCCCCCCCCCCCCCTCCCCCGCCCTCCACCCTCCCCGACCCCGACCCCGACCCCCAGCTCCGGTCCGAAACTCTGTCCGTCCAGGACGTTGGGACGTCATCCCGACGTGAAAGGCGCTTTACAAAGGTCACTTTGTTGTCGTCTGCAACCCGAAGCCTCAGTGCCCGGGGCATCACGTGATCCATCCTTTACCAAGATGGCGTCCACTCACCTTCAGTGAGTGATAATGACACGAACAGACTCATCCTTTACAAGGCGGCGCCTTCTTCTCCCGTTGCCGACAGAGACGGCGCGGATCTCATTTTAAATCCCGTTCAGATGTGGAGACGTCGGTGTATCCCGACAGCGCGGCCTCGGGCCCACTCACCCGCCCCGGGATGCAGTGCTTATCCCGGACGGACGGATTCTGGCTCCGGGCTGTTTGCAACTCCGCCTGTGAAAAAATTATATTTCATAAAAATATCAGAAATATAAGCGCAGGGGCTTCAAACCGTGAGTTTGTTCAATCATTGAAAAACAATTTTGTTGTTTCGGCGAGTGCCGTTTTCTGTAAAACGGTTCAACCACCTGGAGGCCTCGCTGTCAGGCACATAAACAGGCAGCTCCTGGCGGGTCCTGAGAAGCACGTCAGGTTCACATGGAGAAGAGACGGAGCACAGGTACAGGGCACCGAGTACACCACACAGTACACACACAGGTACAGGGCACCGAGTACACCACACAGTACACACACAGGTACAGGGCACCGAGTACACCACACAGTACACACACACAGGTACAGGGCACCGAGTACACCACACAGTACACACACACAGGTACAGGGCACCGAGTACACCACACAGTACACACACAGGTACAGGGCACCGAGTACACCACACAGTACACACACACAGGTACAGGGCACCGAGTACACCACACAGTACACACACACACACACAGGTACAGGGCACCGAGTACACCACACAGTACACACACAGGTACAGGGCACCGAGTACACCACACAGTACACACACAGGTACAGGGCACCGAGTACACCACACAGTACACACACAGGTACAGGGCACCGAGTACACCACACAGTACACACACAGGTACAGGGCACCGAGTACACCACACAGTACACACACAGGTACAGGGCACCGAGTACACCACACAGTACACACACAGGTACAGGGCACCGAGTACACCACACAGTACACACACAGGTACAGGGCACCGAGTACACCACACAGTACACACACAGGTACAGGGCACCGAGTACACCACACAGTACACACACAGGTACAGGGCACCGAGTACACCACACAGTACACACACACAGGTACAGGGCACCGAGTACACCACACAGTACACACACACACACACAGGTACAGGGCACCGAGTACACCACACAGTACACACACAGGTACAGGGCACCGAGTACACCACACAGTACACACACAGGTACAGGGCACCGAGTACACCACACAGTACACACACAGGTACAGGGCACCGAGTACACCACATAGTACACACACAGGTACAGGGCACCGAGTACACCACATAGTACACACACACACACACAGTACACCACACACAGGTACAGGGCACCGAGTACACCACACAGTACACACACAGGTACAGGGCACCGAGTACACCACATAGTACACACACAGGTACAGGGCACCGAGTACACCACACAGTACACACACAGGTACAGGGCACCGAGTACACCACACAGTACACACACAGGTACAGGGCACCGAGTACACCACACAGTACACACACAGGTACAGGGCACCGAGTACACCACACAGTACACACACAGGTACAGGGCACCGAGTACACCACACAGTACACCACACAGTACACCACACACACACAGTACACCACACAGTACACCACACACACAGTACAGGAAACCGAGTACACCACACAGTACACACACACACACAGTATACCCCCCCCCCACACACACACACAGTAGACCCCCCCACACACACAGTATACCCCCCCCCACACACACACAGTATACCACCCCCCCCACACACACACTATACCCCCCCCCCACACACACAGTACACCCCCCCCCACACACACACAGTACACCCCCCCCCACACACACACACACAGTATACCCAACCCCCCCACACACACAGTACACCCCCCCCACACACACACAGTATACCCCCCCACACACACATACAGTATACCCCCCCCACACACACAGTATACCCCCCACACACACAGAGTATACCCCCCCCACACACACACAGTATACCCCCCCACACACACAGTATAGCCCCCCCACACACACAGTATAGCCCCCCACACACACAGTATACCCCCCACACACACAGTATACCCCCCCACACACACAGAGTATACCCCCCCACACACACACACACACACAGTATAGCCCCCCCCCCCCACACACACACACAGTATACCCACACCCACACCCACACAGTATACCCCAACCCCCACACACACACACAGTATACCCCACCCACACACAGAGTATACCCCCCCCCACACACACACAGTATACCCCACCCACACACAGAGTATACCCCCCCACACACACACAATATACCCCCCCACCCCCACACAGAGTATCCCCCCCCCCACACACAAACACACACAGTATACCCCCCCACACACACAAACACACAGTATACCCCCCCCCCCACACACACAGAGTATACCAACCCCCCCCCACACACACAGTGTATACCCCCCACACACACAGTGTATACCCCCCACACACAGTATATACCCCCCCACACACACAGTGTATGCAATCCCCCCCCACACGCATAGTGGATACACTCCTCCCCCCCCCACACACACACAGTGCATACACCACCCCCCCCCCCACACACACACACACAGTGCATACACCCTCCTCACACACAAGAGTGTATACATCCCCCACACAATGTATACCCTCCCCACAAACAGTGTATACACACACAACGTTTACACAGGATATGCACACACCCACACGCACAGCGTATACGCACCCTCGGTGTATACGCACACACACAGTGTATACACACGCACATAGTATACACACACAGTGTATACACACCCACACAGTGTATACATACATTGTATACATACATACACACAGTGTGTATATAAATACACACACAGTCTATACACACACAGGTACACAAACACAGGGGTGATAAATAAGTGTGCGGAGTAAGGAAACTTGCCTAAGGTTTAAGTGTATAACATACAGGACATAGCTGTAACTCAATAGGCTAATTACATACAGGTGGTTTGTATAATGGTAAATTCACCTATATATTGTGGATTCTGGTAGCTTAGTGATAAGAGCATCTGCCTCACAAGTGAGAGGACCTGGGTTTGATTCCCGGCAGGGTGAAATGTTGGGCAGGTTTCGTTACTCCACACGCCTCTGTTTACCGAGCAGTAAGTAGGAACCCAGTTGTTAGTCGATTGGTGGATCACTTTTCCGGGGGTAATCCTCCAGAGGATCGAGTTCAAGATCCTCACCTTTAAGGCCATCCATGGCCTTGCCCCCTTCTACCTCTCTGACCTGCTGACTCCCTACCAACCTGTCCGCTCCCTCCGTTCAGCAGGTTTCGGTCTGCTCCATGTCTCCCGCACGACCCACCCTACCATCGGTGTCCGGGCTTTCAGCTTCCCTGCTCCCACACTCTGGAACTCCATCCCATGGTCCCTTCGCCTCACTTCCTCCCTTGCCTCCTTCAAGGCCGGTCTCAAGACCCTTCGACCGTGCCTATGGTCTCCCTCCCACCTCTCTGTCTTCCCTCACCCCTATGCCACCCCTCCCCCATGCTCGGGCCCCGACATCAGCGCTTTGGGACGTCCTCCCGACGTGAAAGGTGCTCTATAAATATAATTTGGTTGTTGTTTTTGTTGTAATAATTCCTTCAAAATAAAAATAATTTGGTCACGCAAATCCTGACTTTGTGAGACACTGCTGCACGCAATTGGCTACTGTGTTTCGCCCACAAAATACACAGTCAATTCACTTTACAATATATTCTGTGAAGTGCTTTGAGAAGTCTCGGCGACGTGATGAGGCGCTATACCAAATGCAAGCATTAATAAAATACACAGAACAGCTTATGCTTGGTACAACAGCTTACATTTATGTAGTTCCCTTCACTGTCGGGTTGCGTCTGGGAGCGCTTTATAGGGATGGTGTTCGACACTAAGCCAAGGACGGTCTTAGGTGTGTTTGAAGGGGTAGGAATTGAGTTGGGGCTTAGAGACAGACAGAAAGGAGGTGAGATGGAGTGGCTAGAGGAAGGGAATCCCAGAGGTTAGGGACATAGGAGCTGAAGGCTTGGCCACCGATGGTGACGTGGAGACGTCAGGCATACACACAGCAAGCCTGAGTTAGCTAAGTGGAGGATTAGGGAAAGAAGGGTCGGATAATTGAGTTAAAAATAGTAATCATAATCCTTGCATTTGATATAGCACCTTATGTTGTTGAAACATCTCAAAGCGTTTCACAGAATATACTGTAAAGTGGATTGACCGTATATTTTGTGGGTGAAATACAGTGGTTTGGCTGTGTATTTTTGTGAGTGAAACAAATATAGCAGTTGCCACAGATGTCAGGCCGTGGATGGATCTTGTAGGTATCAAGTGCTTTCACTTAAAGTAAATATCTCAAAATGATTCATCGAATAAAACTCATTGGCATTGAGAGTGAATGTTGCTTCAGAGGCAAATGCAGCAGCTAATCTGCGTGAGCAGCATCCCATGAATACCAATGAGATAATTAGCTAATTTATTTACGTTTGAAGCCAAAATTGTAATAATCCTTGCATTTGATATAGTGCCTCATCACATCGTTCAGACGTCTCAAACCACTTCACAGAATATACTGTAAAGTGATTGACTGTATATTTTGTGAGCACAAATTAAATGTGGCAGCGGATCTTAAGGCAGAATAACCAGGAGACAGACTCTGTGGCTCCTTGAAAAAAGAGGCCTGGGGAGGGTGTGTATCTTTATTTAATTCACAAGCCCGCCAGACCCTAAATTAATGACACTTAAAACAAGAGGACGCTGATCTGGAGATGATAACTTTGGATTTATATAGCAACCAGACTGTGCGGGAGACACCCACACACGATATCGAAATGTGTAGTCAAAATGCTTCATATATTTTGGGATACAATAATAGGGCAAACTAGGCTGGTGTATACCAGTCAGTTTACCTTGACATGTAGACACCTTACAGTTGAGCCCTCACTGCTATATAGCTAGTGAGGGCTCAAATCTGTGCTTGTTGGATGTCAAATGACCAACTAGTGACTCTCCTCCTTTGGGGAGGAAAACAGGGTCTCTTTGGAGCTGAACTGGCTCCAAGATAATGTGCTTGATAACAGAATGTCAGAATTGAGTCAAACTCTCTGTGACGGTCTCTCGTCCGGCTCCTGAGTCAGGTGAGTCTGCAGTTTTGCAGGGCACTGCTGATAACAGAACAGCCAGCCTGGCTCATCGGGAGACTCGGTCGGGCAGACCAGTCAATGGGGCAAGGATTCTTCCTGTACAGCTCTTGTTAAACCCTGCAAGCCAAAACCCTAACTGGGCAAGCAGCGGGAAGCTTCCCAGATTGTGCTCTCAGTGATGAGCTCTGAATGAGGTTTTATCTGTTTTCCACATATATCAGACACCCAGCTGACCAAAAATAATACTGTATAGACTGCACTTTCTATACACTATACAATCATATATCATCAGTAATATGTACAATGTCATTGGCTTTACCCACAAGAATTTTTCTGAATGTATTTACATGTACACAGAACAGTGAGTAAGACTCGGGCAGCAGCTGGTGAGCGATGAGGAACAGAGGAAGCTACTTTACTGATGCACGGCTGAAGCAAAGAGTTAAACAGGTAACTACTGGTTAATACAATAAACAGCTCCCACTTCATTGTATTGTCCAGCACTCCCAGGTCAGCTACAGCAGCGCCTCTTCAGCCCATTTGCACTGGAGCCTTGCATTCTGACCCCATTAAAAAATACACAGTCAATCCACTGTACAGTGTATCCTGTGAAGCGCTTAGAGACATCTCAACAGTGTGATAAAGCGCGCTTATCAAATGTAAGGATTATTATTAATTATTATTCTCAAGTTTGTATTTATATGGTTCAAATCCTTATCTAATCCCCTTTAATCTTATGGTCTCAGCCTCAATACCCAATTGTGGAATATTCTAATAACCCTCTACTTGAAAAATCGGAGTTTATGAACTTTGTTACCAATTCACCAACCAGCAAATTGCCTATTCATTGGTCATTATTAACCTGTCACAGCATTTCAGTATTTAAAGGCCTGCATTTTATCCCCATTTCAGATGCTCAGTTTCAGCAGCAACCAAAGTTTCCTCGTAATAATAATAATCCTTGCATTTGATATAGCACTTTATCATGTCTTTGAGATGTCTCAAAGTGCTTCACAGAATATACTGTAAAGTGAATTGACTGTATATTTTGTGGGCGAAACGCGGCAGCCAATTACGCACAACAGTGTCCCACAAACAGTTGTGACCAATTTGGTTTTTTTAAGGTGTTATTACACCCCAAAAAAGCGATTCCCCCAATCAACTAACATCCGAGTTCCTATTTACTGCTGGGTAAACAGGCACGTGGAGTAAGGAAACTTGCCCAGCGTTTCACCCTGCTGGGAATCGAACCTAGGTCTCTCGCTTGCGAGGCGAGTGCTCCTCACTGAACTACAGAACTCAGAATTAATAGTAATTCTTCCTCCTCCCCCCTCATTCCTACTGCTGGTATAATGTGTGTGACATTGTTTTGGTTTCTCTCTTTTTCTCTCTCAGTATCTTGGCAGGAGTCAGTATGTTGATATCACAACCATGGCAGCCGACATGCAGAGAATGTACAGGTGAGAATAATAATAATAATCTTTGCATTTGATATTGTGCCGTATCACGTTGAGATTTCTCAAAGCGCTTCACAGAATATATTGTAAAGTGGATTAACTGTATTTTGTGGACAAAAACATGTCAGCCAATAGTGTCCCACAAACAGTCGTGGATTGAGTGACCAAATTTTACAAAATCAAAAGTTAGATGGATTATTACCCCCGGAAAGCGATCTGCCAATCGACAAACAACCAGGTTCCTACTTACTGCTAGATAAACAGAGGCATGTGGAGTAATGAAATTTGCCTAAGGTTTCGCCCCACCCAGGAATTAAACCCGGGTCCTCTCGCTTGCAAGGTGAGTGCGCTACCCACTAAGATACAGGATTCCACAATATCCTTGCTGGGGAACCTGGCCATCACGGAGGTATAAAAGAGGATTAGTTAGTCACGAGGATTAGTTAGCCACAACTGGTTGCTGAGAATTTGAGAATATTTCACTGAAACAATTCTTCCCCTCCCACCCCACCAAACACAGCACAGAGTATGGCCGGAGGAGGAGGACAGCGTTTAAGATTCAAGTGGAGAAAGGTGAGTGGAATGCTCAGGCCCATATGGGGGTGAGAGTTACTGGGTATAGGGGGGTGAGGGATGGGTGAAGAGAGTTATGAGAAAACTAATTTCTCTCGGTTCCTTCCTCCAGTCTACAGATCAGTCTGTGCTCAGCAGGGTGAGGAGTTAGAGGATTATGAAGAGGAACATCTGACTAAGAGAGCTCGTCAAGGATATGGGGATGATGGGTGAGTAAAGAGTCATTGAGACGTCTCAAAGCGTTTCACAGAATATACTGTGAAGTTAATTGACCCCATATTTTGTGGGCGAAACCTATCAGTCAATTGCGATTCAGTGACCCAATTTATTATTCTTTTATATAAGCGATTATTACCCCCAGAAAAGCGATTCATCAATCAACTAACAACCGGGTTCCTACTTATTGCCAGGTTAAACAGAGATGTGTGGAGTAAGGAAACTTGCCTAAGGTTTCGCCCCACCTGGGAATCGAGCCCGGTCCTCTCGCTACAGGATTCCATGATGGTGCAGTGTTCCCCCAGCACTGTGTTAGATTCCTTTTGAAGACCCATTTTTGATATTTTAGTTCAAATCGCAAAATACTGCAGATGCTGGAAATCTGACAAAAACAGAAGTGGCTGGGAAAACTCAGCAGGTCAGGCAGTATCTTATCAGTTAGAACTCATTTCTAATGAAGGGTTGTGGACCCGAGCCGTTGACTCACTTTCATTTCTTCATAGATGCTGCCTGACCTGCTGAGTGTTACCATCGACTTTTGATATTTTAGTTGCCGGATCAAATGCTAAAATTACTGTTTATTGCAGGGAGGAGCTGGTCTCTTCAGACACAACCGACAGTGAGAGCCAAGCAGAGGACCCGGTGAGTTCAGCACTCCCCTTATTGCAGCGTTACTCTCAGCATATTAAATCACTAAATTTGGGAATATTGACTTGGATTTGATGTTTTCCCTTTTTTGGTGGAAAGGAAATCCTTTCCCGAGGCTACAGATTCGTCCTCTACCTCACCATTGGTCCCGGTGGTTCACATGTGAGCCTGGGCAGTGAGTGTTGGCAGTGGGGGCACTGCAGCCCTATTCCTGTCGTCACCTGACATCCTCTCTCAATCACACACACGCGCACTCTCTCTCTCTGCCTGGCACTCGCACATAAACACATGTTCTCACATACAAACACATGCTCTCACACATTGTCAAACATCAACAACTTACATTTATTTGATCCTTGCATTTGCACTGTCACACACACCATCTCACACATACTCTCGCACAAGTACAACACACTCGCTCTCTTGCATTCACGCACTCTCAAATACATACTCATACACACAACAACAACAAGAAGATTACATTTGTATAGCGCCTTTCATGTCGGGAGGGCGTCCTAAGGCGCTGGACAGTGTACGCATTTCAGACCCGAGCTGGGGTCACACGGGGTGAGAAGGGAGGGGAAGGGAGGTGGCCGATGGCATGGTCGAAGAGGAGGGTCTTGAGGCGGGACTTGAAGGAGGCAAAGAAACACACAAACCCTCTCTCGCCCTCATTCTCAGCTATACATTAAAGATTCAATGACACTATCAGAAAAAAGAAGGGAGTTTCTCCCAGTGTCCAGACTTAACAATCCTCCAGCTCATTTGGACATTCATCCTGGGTGGGATGGGGGACGTAAGCAGATTTCTCTGGAGCTGAACTGGCTCCAAGGTGACATATTTGGCAACGGAATGTCGGGATCGAGCTGGTCCGGTTACTGAGCAGAACTCCAGGGCACTGCTGATGACAGCACAGACCTGGAAGGGCAGATCAGTCACTCAGGCCAGAGAGTCATCCCACTCCGCTCCTGTACATCCCTCCAGGGAGAGAGTGCACATTCCATTCAAGGCACAGAGAAATTTCCATGTATAATTAGCGATGTGTGGAACTCTTCAGTGTGGATTGGATGCTCAAATTGGGTATTGGGTTTTCACATGTGAGACACCCAGTTGACAAAAATAAGATAAATTAGCCATTTACTGCTGTGTGGGATGTTACTGCGTGCAAATTGGCTGCTGCGTTCCCCAATGAAATACACAATCACTACACTTAACAGCAATTCCTTGTGCAGTGGTTTGAATCAATTCGATATTATTACAGCAACAACAAATTACATGCGTGTATCGCCCTTCGTGTCGGGAAAATGTCCCAAAGCACTGGACAGTCAAGGATTTGGACCCAAGCAGGGGGTTGGGATTAGCAGGGCTGGAGGGCAGGGAGGATAGGGGTAGGAGGGTGACTGAAGGCACAGTCAAAAAGGAGGGTCTTGAAACTGGCCTTGAAGGAAGCAAGGGAGGGGGTGAGGTGAAGGGACTGAGGGGATAATGTTGCAAAGGGTGGGGTCAGAAAGGCTGAAGGCCCAATTGCCGATGGTAGAGTGGGCTGGGCCGAGCGGGGGACATGGAGCAGGCCCGCTGAACGGAGGGAGCACACGGGTCGGGATGGAAAGATGGTGTTATGGGGTCTGGTCTCTTCAGATGAATTTGCTCACTTGCTGTCCTCGTTTGCAGCCGGGAAATCAGATGAACTCTTCTCTACTGAGCCTGTACCGGAAAGGAAATCCGGAGTCCGTGCCCTCCACTCCCAGGGGAGCCAGCACGCCTGGGCAGCCGGTCCCGGTGGCAGCCAGCAAGCCCGCCAGGACCCCTGGAAACACCAGAGTCTCTGAGGGCGGCTGGTTCATTGACAGTACCCCTGGCAGAGAGAGGCCGCATCCCATCCTGGTGGACCTCTGCGCTGAAGAGAAAGGCCCGGCACAGAGTGAGGAGGTAACAGACCCCGACCAATAAACAGACCATCGATAAAATAACAGCAAGTGACATGCGGGACGGACAAGACAAATGTCTCTCATCACTTCACAATGATTGGAGACCCACATATATATGGAGTGCTCCAGCGTAATGGTTAGAGCACTCGCCTCGCAAGTGAGAGGACCTGGGTTCGATTCTCAGTCAGGGCGAAACCTTAGACAAGTTTCCTTACTCCACACGCCTGTTTACCAAGCAATAAGTAGGAACATGGATGTAGTCGATTTGCGGATCAACTAATAATCCCTCAAAATAAACAGGATGTAATTGAGTCACTCGATCAACGACTGTTTGTGGGACACTTCTGTGCTGCGTTTTCACCCACAAAATGCATAGGCAATCCATTTTACAGCATATTCTGTGAAGTGCTTCGAGACATCTTAATGACCTGATAAGGCGCTATATCAAATGCGAGGATTACTATTATTAATAATGGCCGGGATCTCCGAGCAGGGAGGAGAGGGGTGTTTAAGGATGTTGACCTAAAGCCCAGTGAAACGGAGGCTTTTAGGAGTGTTTAAAAGTCAGAGAAAGAAGGCTGGGCTGGGTTGTCATTCCTTCTCTCGCTCCCTGGGGCCGTGCACTGTGTGTGGAGAAGACGGGGGGCCGATGCACTCACTAATTTCTCTCTTTTGCTACAGGAACGGGAGGTCTCACGGCTGGAGAAGAGGAGAGTGAATAAAGGAAAGCGGCGGAACAAGGGCGCAAAGCAGGACGTGGATAAAGAGATTCAATCGTTACTGAGCCAAAGAGGTCAGTAACAATAAATAATAGTCCTTGCATTTGATGTAACACCTTATCAAGTTTGAGACATCTCGAAGCTCTTCACATGATATACTGTAAAGTGCAATGGCAGTATTTTGTGGGCGAAACGCGGCAGCCAATTGCACACAGCAGTGTCCTACAAACAGTTGTGGATTGAGTGACCAAATTATTTATTGATTTATTTATTTTGTGGAGGGATTATTACCTCGGGAAAGCAATCCAACAACTGACCAACAAACGGGTTCCTACTTACTTGGATAAAGAGATTCAATCGAAGAGATTCTGGAGGCCATCATGGGCCGCAGCCGCTCCCCGCCCCGCCGCGAACGGCGCAGGTCGCGATCGACGTCCAGAGACCGGGAACGAGCTCGGCGACGGGAACGATCCAGGTCCCGAGACCGGGAGCGGAGGCGGAGCAGGTCGCGGTCCCCGCACAGATGGAGATCCAGGTCTCCTCGGCGACACAGGTCTGCTTCGGATTCTCCTTCCAGGCAAAAAGATGACAAGGCAGGAAAAGAACATTAGATTTCAGAGGCAGATATGGAGGGAAAAACCGAGGAAGAAATTGAAACGATGAAGCAGATGGGATTTGGTGGTTTTGATACCACAAAGTGGAAGAAAGTGGATGGCTCCGTGAATGCCTTTGCTGTTAATGTGCAGCAGAAAAGAAAGTATCGGCAGTACATGAACAGAAAGGGAGAGTTTAACTGACCCCTGGATTTCATCGCATAGCTCTGTTGGTCTAGAGTGGCATGAATATGACTTGCAAAGGCATCAACATTGAGGCCAAGACAACAATAGTTTATGCCATACTTTGCGAGCAGGGCAAGTTCTCTGTATTAAAGTCCTGGGGTTGGATTTAGGAATGGGATAATGTGATCTTCAGGCTTAGCATTTCTTGAACACCCGTACAATAAGCAATGTGCAGGGGGAAGAGGGTTCATCTTTATTCTTGTTTGTACACAGCTGTCATCAACCAGTCTACACGTGCACCACACCCCTACCATTTCATTGTGGATTGTGCACCGATGAAATTTATAAATGGCTAATTTTGAATTAAAATGAAGTGGAAAGAGCTCTATAGCGGAGTGTTTTGCCCCCTTTTGACATGGTGTATTTCAATCAGATCCATTTCACATTGATGCATGTTTGATGCTATTACAAATTGACAATTATATGGAACTGACTACACTATTGACTCACCACCTGCAGGCAGCATCTCTGTGGGTTCCCGTGTGTGGAGTCCTGCAGCTCAGTGGTTAGAGCACTCGCTTTTCAAGCGAGAGAACCGGGGTTCAATTCCAGGCAGGGCGAAACCTTGGGCAAGTTTCCTTACTCCACACGCCTAATAATAATCCCTCCAAAACAAAAAACAATAATAAATTGGTCATTTTCAATCCACGACTGTTTGTGGGACATTGCTGTGTGCAATTGGCTGCCGCGTTTGCCCACAAATATACAGTCAATTCACTTTACAGTGTCTTCTGTGAAGCGCTTTGGGACGTCCTCCTGACGTGAAAAGCGCTATATCAAATGCAAGGATTATTATTATTATTATTACTGCTAGGTAAACAGAGGTGTGTGGAGTAAGAAAACTCGCCTGAGGTTTTGCCTCACCTGGGAATTGATCCTGGGTCCTCTCGCTTGTGAGGCCAGTGGCTAACCATTACAACAACAACAAGATTCCATTTATTGAGCGCCTTTCACGTCAGGAGGACGTCCCAAGGCGCTGTACAGTTGGGTCAGGACCCGAGCAGGGGGAAATGGTCAGGGGAGGGAGGGAAGGAGGGAGCGAGAGGGGGAAATGGTCAGGGTGAAGGGAGGGAGCGAGGAGGGGGTAGAGAGTCGAGAGGGGAGCTGAAGGCACGGTCAAAGAGAAAGGTCTTGAGACCGGCCTTGAAGGAGGAAAGGGAGGAGGCGGCGAAGGCACTGGGGGATGGAGTTCCAGAGCCTCAGGGCTGAGAGGCTGAAGGCCCGGCCACCGATAGTAGGGCGGTTGGGGCGGGGGATGTGGAGCAGACCGGAGCCAGAGGAACGGAGGGTACGGGCGGGTAGGTAGGGGGATAGAAGGTCGGAGAGGTAGGAGGGAGCAATGCCGTGAATGGCCTTGTAGGTGAGGGTGAGGATCTTGAATTACAATACAGGACTCCACAGTAATAAATAAAAGACAGACAGATAGGGAGGGAGTGACATCAAGAGATGAGGAGGAGAGAGAGACGTACATGATTACACACACACACACACATTTTATAGAAAGTGATACACTAAAAGGGTAAGTCAGAAAATAATGAATGAAAGAAGAGAAAGCAGTAGAAGTGAGAGATGAAGAGTGTGTGAGGGGGTAAGTGATGTGGAGCTGAGCAGAGACTGTCTGACTCACTACTCTGTCCTGTCTGTAGCTCCGCACGCTGGCTTTGAGATGCAACACTCCTCCGTGAGATTCCAGGATATCGGTGGCAACGAGAAGACGCTGAAGGTGAGAGAGAGGCTTTGGGTTAGCGGCCGTGACACAGATACACATGTAAAGTGAGGACAAGATTGGGGCTGCGATGTCTCTACAATCAGGTGAGGAGGGGATCAGACCTGTGATGTTTGTGCTGACACATCCATTGATCCCCCCTTCACATTAGGGTTAAATCCGGTTACTGCAGTGGGTGATTTGCGATTTTTTCCCCAGGAGGTTTGCCGGCTGCTCATTCACATGCGACACCCGGAGGTGTATGAGCGGCTGGGGATGCAGCCCCCTCGTGGCGTCCTGCTCCACGGACCACCTGGCTGTGGCAAGACCCTGCTGGCACAAGCAATCGTAGGGGTAAGAGAACAGCACACAATGCTCGTTGTTATTCCTTGTCTGGGAGAGAGTGTGTGTGTGGGGAGTGTGTGTGTGTGCGTGGGGGGAGTGTGTGTGTGTGGGTGGGGGGGGGGGTGGGAGCATGTATGTGTGTGTGTCGGGGGTGTGCCCATGTGTGTGTTTGTGTGTGGGGGGGGCGGGGAGTGTGTGTGTGGGGAGCGTATGTTTGTGTGTGGGGCGAGTGTGCGGGGAGCTTGTGTGTGTGTTTGTGTGGGGAGCACGTGTGTGTGTGTGTGGGGGGAGTGTGTGTGTGTGTGCGTGTGGGTGGAGGGTGTGTGTATGTATGTGTGTGTGGGAGACGAGGGTGCGTGTGTGTGTGGGACGAGGGTGCTTATGTGTGTGTATGTGTGTGGGACGAGGTGCGTGTGTGGGAGGGGTGTGTGCGTGGTGGGGGGTGTGAGTGGGAGTGAGTGCTTGTATATGTGTGTGCGGGCCTGTGTATACGTGATGGGGCGGAGCGGAGCTTCACAGGATATACTCATTCCATGACTGTTTGTGGAATGCTGCAGTGCTCAATTGGCTGCCAAATTCATCCACAAAATACGCACTGAATCCACTTTATTACAATGTATTCTGGAAGAGTTTTGAGATGTCTCGATCACATAAGGATCTATATCAAATGCAAGAATTATTATTATATTATAGTATGGGACTTGATCCCACGTCTTGTGTTGTGATGGGTGAATGTGGTGGATTTGGTGCTTGGTCTCTCTGTGGCTCAGGGTTGAGGGGTGAATGTCAGGGTAACTGATCTCTCTCACTGTCCCAGGAGCTGGAGATGCCTCAGCTGAAGGTGGCGGCTACAGAGGTTGTGTCAGGGGTGTCGGGGGAGAGCGAGCAGAAACTACGAGAGCTGTTTGAACAGGCGGTGGTGAGTAATGACGTAACAAGTGCTCCAAGATGCTACCTTGTATTAGGGGCGCTATATAAATACAAGCTGTTGTTGTTGAGTGGAGTGACTGACTGACTGACTGACTGTGCGGGTGCAGTGACTGACTGTGGGGAATCCCTGCTTTATTGATTAATTCACCCTCTCTTTCCAGACAAACGCCCCCTGTGTTATCTTCATTGATGAAATTGATGCCATTTCCCCCAAGCGGGAAGTGGCCTCAAAGGACATGGAGCGTCGCATCGTGGCTCAGCTGCTCAGCTGTATGGACGGTCAGTCTCCATATTGTGTATGTGTGTTACTGCTGGCACATTGTGACGGTACTAATAAATAATCCTTTGTCTTTCTCTCCCACCCCATGGCCATTAGTCATGCGGTCCCTCCGCTCATCAGGCTCCAGCCTGCTCCATGTCTCCTGCCCGACCCACCCTACCGTCGGTGGCCGAGCTTTCAGTCTCTCTGCCCCCACATTCTGGAACTCCAGCCCACGGACCCTTCGCCTCGCTTCCTCCTTTGCCTCAAGACCCTTCTTTTCGACCGTGCCTTTGGTCTCCCTCCCACCTCTCTGCCTTCCCTCACCCCTACACCACCCCTCCCCCATGCTCAGGGCCTGACATCTGACTTTTCAGCGCTTTGGGACGTCCTCCCGACGTGAAAGGCGCTCTATAAATGTAATTTTGTTGTTGTTGTTAGCTGTACATTAACCTCTGAAGTTCAGGTGTGGTTTCTAGCCCGGTGAAATAGATTAATACCAATTATCATAAAAACAAGGGTGTCCCATAGCCCAGTGGTTTGTGCATTCAATTCCTGGGTGGGGCAAAATCTTAGGCAAATTTCCTTACTCCACAAGCCTGTTTATCTAGCAGTAAGTAGGTTGGTTGGTTGATTGGTGGATCGTTTTCCGGGGGTAATAATTCTCTCCCTCCCCCACCATTGGTCCTGTAGCTCAGTCGTTAGAGCACTCGACTTGCAAGCGAGACACCTGGGTTCAGATGTCCAGGCAGGACGAAACCTTGGGCAAGTTTCCTTACTCCACACGCCTAATAATAATCCCTTCAAAACAAAACAATAATAAATTGGTAATTTTCAATCCATGACTGTTTGTGGGACATTGCTGTGCACAATTGGCTGCCGCGTTTTGCCCACAAATATACAGTCAATTCACTTTACAGTCTATTCTGTGAAGCACTTTGAGACGTCTAGAAGACATGGAAAGTGCTAATAAACGCAAGGATTATTATTATTATTCATCACTCAATCCACGACTGTTTGTGGAACACTGGTGTGCGCAATTGGCTGGTGTGTTTTGCCCACAAAATACACTGTCAATTCCACTTTATAAAATATATTCTGTGAAGCGCTTTGAGACGTCTCAAAGGCAGAATATCAAAACGCAAGGATTATTATAATCCTTGCATTTAATACACCACCTATTAATGTCAAAGGTCTCAAAGAGTTTCACAGGGAATTACTGTCAAGTTTAATGACAATTAACTTGTTGACCAGCCAGTTTGCATCGATGCAATGCCTCACGAACAACCACGGAGTGAATGAACAATATATCCGGGGGATTGTTGACCAGGACACTGCAAGCAATTCCCTTCTCTTTTCCAGGAGTGTGGTTCTTCAGTTTAACGTTTCATTCAAAGTATGTCACCCTTGACAGTGCAGCACTTCCCGCAGTAAAACTAATGTCCTACAGGCTAAGACAAAGTGGAATTTGGAACCTTTGGATCAGGGAAACCCTGGTTGATATTTTTCTTTAACCCCCCTCATTAACCCGCGGTTGTTGGGGAGCAATTCTTAGACGAGGTGGTATTTGGGGCAGTCTTTATAATAATAATCTTTGCATTTGACATAGTGCCTTATCACGTGATTGAGACGTATCAAAGCGCTTCACGGAACATTTTGAAAAGTGGATTGGTTGTATTTTGTGGGCAAAAATGCGGCAGCTAGTTGCGCACAGCAGTGTCCCACAAACAGTCGGGGGTGTTGCTGATTGTTTCTTGCCTGTTTCAGATCTGAACAACCTGTCGGCAGCCACTCAGGTCCTAGTCATCGGTGCCACCAACCGGCCCGACTCCCTGGACCCCGCCCTCAGGAGAGCCGGCCGTTTTGACCGCGAGATCTGCCTCGGAATCCCCGACGAGGGAGCACGAGAACGGTAATGTGTTTACATAGGAATGAGTTGTTTTGGAATACCTGGAGCGAGAGTGAGAGAGAGAAACTGAATGAGGGGGAAAGAGAAACTGATTGAGAGGGAGAGAGAGAAACTAATTGGGAGAGAGAGAAACTGATTGAGAGAAAGAAACTGATCAAGTGAGAGAGACTGATCGAGAGAGCAAGAGAAATTGATCGAGAGAGTGAGAGAGAAACTGAGCAAGAGAGAGAGCAAGAGAGACAAACAGAACAAGACAAACAAGAGAGAGAAACAGAGTAAGAGAGAAAAATGGAATGAGACAGAAACCGAGAGAGAGAAAAGCAGTAAAAGAAAGAATTTTTATATTGGCTGAATGCTGGAGAATGACATCCTGGCTTGAAAAATGACTCACCAAGCCAGTCAGGATGCTTGGCATCTTGTTCGACCCTCAACTGTTCTTTTCCCCCACATCCTTGCTATGACCCATTCCGCCTTCTCCCACCTCCACAACATTGCCCGACACCGCCACTGGCACACCCTCAGGCTGCCAAAACCCTCATGCATAATAATAATAATAATCATTGCATTTGATATAGCGCTTTTCATGTCTTCTAGACGTCTCAAAGCGCTTCACAGAATAGACTGTAAAGTGAATTGACTATATTTGTGGGCGAAACGTGGCAGCCAATTGTGCACAGCAGTGACCCACAAACAGTCGTGGATTGAAATGACCAATTTATTATTTTTTTGAGGGATTATTATCAGGCGTGTGGAGTAAGGAAACTTGCCCAAGGTTTCACCCTGCCGGGAATCGAACCCAGGTCTCTCACTTGCAAAGCGAGTGCTCTAACCACTGAGCTACAGGACTCCACGCCTTCATTACAACCAGGCTCGTCTATACCAACGCCCTGCTTGTTGGCCTTCCCAATTCTTCCCTCCACAAGCTGCAGATCATCCAGAACTCTGCAGCTCGTGTTCTCTCCCGCACCAGGCTCCCTGACCCCATCAAACCCACCCTCGAAAGACTCCACTGGCTTCCATAGAGTATCGAGTTCAAAATTCTCGTCCTCACCTTCAAGGCCTTGCCCACTCCTACCTCTGTGACCTACTAATCCCTTATCAACCTGTCCGCTCCCTCCGCTCAGCAGGCTCCGGCCTGCTCCATGTCCTCCGCCCGGCCTGCCCCACTATCGGTGGTTGGGCCTTCAGCCTCTCTGCCCCACCCTCTGGAACTCCATCCCACATTCTCTTCGCCTCACTCCCTCCCTTGCCTCCTTCAAGGTATGCCTCAAGACCCTCCTCTTCGACCGTACCTTCGGCCACCCTCTCTGCCCTGCACCCTCCCTGATCCCAACCCCGGCTCCGGTCCTAATCCCTGACTATTCAGCGCCTTGGGACGTCTTCCCAACGTGAAAGGTGCTTTACAAATGTAATTTTGTTTTGTATTTTGTATTGTATCCCCTTCCCCCAACGGCTCATTGAGTCTGGGAGGGAACAAATCAGACAAATCCTTGAAAAGGAAAATATAATATGCCCGATTGGTTTACGGGAGGGAATAGGGAGTAAGGTGAGTAATAATAATAATAATCCTTGCATTTGATGTAGCACCTTATTACGTCATTGAGATGTCTCAATGCTTCACAAAATATAATGTATAGTGAATTGACTGTTTTGTGGGCAGCCAATTTGCACACAGCAGTGTCCCACAAACAGTCATGGATTGAGTGACCTATTTTGTTTTTTGAAGGGATTATTACACCTGGAAAGCGATTCGCCAATCGACTAACAACCTGGTTCCTACTTACTGCTGGTTAAACAGAGGCGGGTGGAGTAAGGAAACGTGCCTAAGGAATCGGACCTGAGTCCTCTCGCTTGCGAGGCGAGGGCGCTAACCACTACTCTGTAGGAGTTCCTCGTTACCTGGCGCAGAGAGCGACTAAAGAACAGTTCCCTTATTTTTCCAGGATTCTCAGGACTCTTTGCCGACGGCTGACGCTCCCAGATACCTTTGATTACCGACAGGTGGCCCGGCTGACCCCGGGGTATGTGGGCGCTGACTTGATGGCGTTGTGCCGGGAGGCAGCGACGAGCGCTGTGAACCGCATCCTGGTCCACGTGCCAGAGCCGGAGCCGGCACTGGACACTGAGCAACATCCAGCCCAGGATTCCCAGGTAAAGCTCCCTCTGCACTGTCGGGCTAGCACTCCCAGCTTCTTGATGCCACTGTGTATTTGAAATGTAAGTTATGTTCTGAAAGACGCTGTATTGCCGGTGTTGTGTCTTTTGATGTAAATTGTTTGTATTGACTGTGATGTTTTGTGGAAGGATGAGTTTGTGAGATTGCTGCAGCTGCTGAAGCCTGGGAATCCGGTCCCAGACGAGCAACTCTGCATGCTCCGCATTGAGATGGCAGATTTCACCAGCTCGGTCACCACGGTCCAGCCCTCGGCCAAGCGGGAAGGGTTTGCCACTGTCCCTGATGTGACCTGGGCTGACATCGGGGCCCTGGAGGCTGTGCGGGAGGAGCTGACCATGGCCATTCTGGTAGGTCCCATTGCAAGGGGTGAGGGTGTTATTGTCATTTCCAGGGTAGGTTTACAATCCTATTGATCCACTCACTCCTCTCAACCCTCTTTTACAGCTGCTCCCTGCCTCCTGTTCTCCTCCCCTTGTCCCTCCTGCCCTTGTCCCAGTGACCCACAGTAAACTCCGCATCCTCATCACATCAGTTCTAGCCAGCCACAGACTCCCTATCACCGAACGGATCGATTTTAAAATCCTCTCACTTGTCTTCAAATCCCTTCATTCCCTGGCACCTCCCTACCTCTCAGACCTGTTTACTCCCCAACCCATTACAACAAAACAAATTGCATTTGTAAAGCACCTTTCATGTCGGGAGGACGTCACAAAGTACTGAACAGTCGGGGATCAGGACCCGAGTGTGTGGGGGCAGGGTTGGGATGAGGGAGCGCAGAGAGGTAGGAGGGCAGCTGAAGACACGGACGAAAAGTAGGGTTTTGAGTCGTGCCTTGAAGGAGGGAAGGGAGGGAGCAAGGCGAAGGGATTGTTGGATAGAGTTCAAAAGGATGGGGGCAGAGAGGCTGAAAGGCTTGCCTCTGATGGTAGAGCAGGTCGGGCGGGAGACATGGAGCGGGCCGGTGCCTGCTGAGCGTAGGGAGCGGATAGGTTAGTCGGGGATTAGCAGGTCAGGTAGGTAGGAGGGACCAAGAGCGTGGAGGGCCTTGAAAGTGAGGATTTTGAATTCTATCTTCTGAGGAATGGGGAGCCAGTGGAGCCGGGCGATGGTGGGGTCAATCGGGCTGCTGCCTCCCCTCGATTGGCTCTGGCCACCTGCTTGTCCCACGTGCGCTCTATTCCACCATCAGTGGTCGTTCTTAATTCTGGAACATTCTCCCTCAATCCCTTCGCATTGCCCCCTCCTTCCCCATCTTCAGATCGTGCCTGAAGACCTTCCTCTTTGTCCTTGCTTACGGTCATCTCGCCCCAGCTCGGTGCCAGGCTCCACCACTGTTAAGTGCTCTGAGACGCTGCCCTGCGTGAATGGTGCTATATAATTGCATGTTGTTGTTGATGACTGATGTTTATTCTCTGCAGGCCCCGGTCAGAAACCCAGAGCAGTTCCAGGCGTTGGGGCTGTGCACTCCAGCAGGGGTGCTGCTGGCAGGGCCACCCGGCTGTGGCAAGACCCTGCTGGCCAAGGTGAGCATCAGCCACTGTGCGTGTCTATGTGAGAGGACGTGCGTAAATAGGTGTGTTCATTGGATTGTGTGCGTGAGATTGTGCAAGTGTATGTGAGAGTGCTTCTAGAAATCCATCCCGGAGTCCCTGTGACTCGCTCGGTCCCTCACCTCACTAACTCTCTGCTCCCTCACCTCACTAACTCTCTGCTCCCTCACTCACTAACTCTCTGCTCACTCACCGCACTAACTCTCTGATCCCCAGTCTTCCCTCAAGCTGCAGACTGTTCAAAATTCTGCTCTCGTGTCCTTTCTCCCGACCAGGCTGTGTGAGCTATCAACCCAGCCTTGCTTGATTACATTGGCTCCATATCTCCCAAAGGATCAATTTCAAGATCTTTGTCCTCACTTGTAAACCTCTCCACGATCTTTCCCCATTTTACCCTTCTGGCCTTCGAAAACCTTAGCAACTTCCCTTTCTCTCCACTCTGCAGCCAATGGCCAGCATCAAGTCGCCCACCCTACCCTTTCCACTAACAGTGGTCGTGCTTTTAGTTTTTTTGCCGCCTACTCTCTGGAACTCTATCCCTGAATCCCTTCGCCTTGCCCCTTCCCTCACCTCCTTCAAGTTCTATCTCAAGACCCTCCTCTTTGAACCGCACCTTTGGTCATCTCCCCACCCGCTCCTCCCTTGGTCCTCTCCGCTCTTGGTCCCCCAGCTCGGATGCAAATCCTTGATTGTCTAGCACCTTGGGAAGTCTTTTCAACATGAAAGGCGCTATATGATTGCAATTTGTTGTTGTTCAAGGTCCATCTTGAGACCTAACCTTTGACTGTGCTTTTGGTCATTTCCACCCTCCTCACCTCCTTCAGCTCCCACCTCAGCTTGGGTGCCCAGCCAGCAGTACTAAGCGCTTTGAGATGTCCTCCCGATGTGAAAGACACAATATAAATGCAAATTGCATTGTGTGTGTGAGTGTGTGTATGTAAAAGTGTGTCTGTGTGTAAAAGTGTGTGTGTGAGGGGGTGAGGTAGGCCTGTTTGCTGCTATTATCAGCCCAGTGAGTCGTTCTTGTTTTGTCACCAGGCTGTTGCCAACGAGTCTGGACTGAACTTCATCTCTGTTAAAGGCCCCGAGCTGTTAAACATGGTGAGTAAAACCTGAGGTCCTGTGCCCTGAGGTCCCGTCCCTACCTCTGTGACTTGCTGTTGGGAAAAATGAATCCCGGGTTTGATCAAAAGACTCGACAAATACCAAATATGGCGTAACACACCTTTGAATGCTTTATTTCGATACCCAACAGGTAATATCAATTATACAATACAAAGAAAAGTAAATGATCCAATAAGCAATACTAGAATACAATGATTATATCAAAGTAGAACGATTATACTTGATTATATTATATTAAAAACACATTGGTTATATGCAGTTAAGAAATAGTTATATTACCAGTTTAAAGGAGTCAACAGCAGCCGTTCTTCGTCTTCCCTCTCTTGAGCCCGAACAGCTTAGTGATATACTCACAAACTTATGGTGACCCGCTGATCTCTGCTCCTGGACTGTCTATATCCCTCTTGAGTCGTCCTGCTCTTCTCACTTCTACTATTCTCACCTAGAGGTGGGCTAGTTTCACCCTTTTTCCGAGTGTTTCTTTTCCTAGGGCTGCTCTACCCATTTTTTGATACTGTCACGTACTCAGGTTAGTCAATCATTCGGCTTGGTACCATCCTGACTTGAATGTCCACAAGGTATTCCCTTTGTCCTGTCTAGGCCAAAATGATTGATCGGTTTAGGGCTGTATCTGGGGCTCATCATTTTGTTATGTGGGATCGTTAGCACATTTCTTATAAGTGAATGGTTATCTCTTATCAGTATCCCGGGATGGTACCAAAGTCCTTCAGTTTAAACAACTTGCTTGGTAGTTCGCTATTCTTGAGGGTTGCCTTCGGTTGTTTTGCAGGCCCTGTCAGAATCTAGAGACTTATCTTTAAGCTAAGATTCTGTGTCGACTGGTACCTTTACCTCTGTGGGCTTGTTGTTATCTAGTGATAAGTGGTGACCTCCTGTCCTTTTCCAAAGCTATCTTGTTATTCCTTAAGAAACAGAGAAAAACAGATGTGTCCTATCCCATGATCGTCAACATTTAACATAAAATCATACATTTTATACATATTCGCATAACATAATCCTGAATAATATTCTATTATAAATTCCTTATATTGTCATATTCCAACACTGCCAACTTCAAACATACCTGTCCACTCTTTCCACTCAGCGAGCTCCGGCCTGCTCCATGCCCCCCACCCGGCCTGGCCCACCATCGGCAGTCGGGCCTTCAGTCTTTCTGCCCCCATCCTTTAGAACTCCATCCCACAGTCCCTTTGCCGAGCTTCCTCCCTTGCCTTCTTCAGGACCTGTCACAAGACCCTCTTCTTCAACCATGCCTTTGTTCACCCTCCTGCCCTCCACCCTTCCTGATCTCAATCCTCAACTCGGACGCACATCCTTGACTGTGCGCACTTTGGGGTATCCTCCCAACCTGAAAGGCACTATACAAATGTAATTTGTTTTTTGTTGAACCCTGTTGTGCCAAGTCTCCTGAGTGCTGGGTGTTTGTCTCTCTGCAGTATGTGGGTGAGAGCGAGCGAGCGGTGAGACAGGTGTTTCAGCGAGCTCGGAGCTCGGTGCCGTGTGTGATATTCTTTGATGAGGTTGATGCCCTGTGCCCACGTCGGTCCGACCACGAGGTGAGTCTCTGTCAGTCTCCTCACACACAGTGTGTTGCCGTCCTCCGCAGTGTTACAGCTTTGTTGTGCTCCCTCACATTGAAGAAAGACAAAACTTTCTTCAATGTAAGGGAATCATAGAATCTTGCAGCACAGAAGGAGACCATTCGGCCCATTGTGCCTGTGGCCGGCTCTTTGAAAGAGCTACCAACGAGTCCCACTCCCCCACTCTTACCACATAGCCCCGCAAATTCTTCCTTTTCAAGTATATATCCAATTCCCTTTTGAAAGTTACTATCGAATCTGCTTCCACCACTCTTTCAGGCAACCCATTCCAGATCGTAACAATTACTTGTATTTTTAGTGCACTTATCCCATCAAAACCTCTCAGGGCTTCATAGTAAACTGTTATCAAGTGTAGTGCCTATTCAGCCCAACCTCAGCAAAGTGTTGATTAATTCAAATACAAATTAGATTCTTTTAGAAAATAATATCTTGGGATACAGTATATGAGTAATTTGAGACATGACAAGTGTAGTATGCTTGGAAGAACCAAGCAACTTTGGATCTAAGGTTCCAAAGCTTTCCACACTGTTGTAGACTGATCCATACATTGCTATCAATATCTCCATTATTCTAGCATGCGACTACCAGGATGGAAGAAGCCAAACTAAATAAACCTTGATCTTTTTTCGTTTAGCAGTTTCTATGTATTTGTAGGCAAATGCGGCAGCCAATGTGCTCACAGCAAAAGTCCATTTACAGTCATAGAGCAGTGACTGATTTAATGTGGAAGATCGTTGGCCAGGATATTAGGGAAACGCCCTTCTCATATTTCATAGCAGCAAAGGATCATTAATGGCCAACAACAAATTGCATTTATACAGTACCTTACACTTCAGGAGGATGTCCTAAGTTGCTGGGCTGGAGGGCAAGGGTAGTGGGGGTGGTGGTGGGAAGATGAATAAAGGCACGGTTGGAGAGGAAGGTCTTGAGACTGGCCTTGAACGCGTTAAGGGAGGCGCCAGACCACGTGAATAGGCAGACAGGTATGGTGTCTCATCTAAAGGATGGCACCTCCCACAATGTAACGCACTGCAGATCTTCACTGGAGAGTCAATCTAGGCTGTAATTGTTTGAGGGATGATTGTGCTGTGAGGTGTTGATGATTGATCTCTGTGATCTGGTGTAGATTTTTTTTAGATAGCCAGTGCTCTGCTGTGTCTCAGGCTGTACCCCCTCTCTACCTATTTTCAGGTCTCGGCTAAAGACCTTTCTCTTTGACCGCGCCTTTGGTCACCTTCTTCCCCCTTCCCGTTGCTTAGCCCCGGGATCTGTTATTCTGAAGCGCTCTGAGACTCTGTCCGCCGTGGAGGGCGCTATATAAATCCAAGTTGTTGTTGTTGAAATGCTGTATGCTGGCCAGCACCTTGGAACGTCCTCTCGACGTGAAAGGCGCTATACAGATGTAATGTTGTTGTTGTTGTGTAGTCTGGGGCCAGTGTGCGTGTCGTGAACCAGCTGTTGACTGAGATGGATGGGTTGGAGGCTCGCAAGCAGGTCTTCATCATGGCTGCCACCAACAGACCAGGTGAGAGGCCAGCAACGGGGCCTGTGATGGGCACTTCATTAATATCTTTTACCCAGTACCAGTGTTATATACTATACACAGGAACGCTACACCCAATAACATACAGAGTTATATACCACGCACAGGAGTGTTATACGCAGTAACACATGATATTGTATAACAATAATTCCCGATAGCACAGCCAGAAGTGACTACCGCATCAGAAAGATGGGTTTGCGGGTACTCAGTGTTCTTCAGTATAAATGCTGCCAGACATTGTGGACCCTTGTAGGTGGCTGGTTCCAGGGCAAGGCTTTTGTAAGCAGCGTCAGAAGGAATACAGAGGCTGAGAGAATTGTGGTCTTTCTCTGGCAGATATTCTGGATCCGGCCGTACTGCGACCTGGACGCTTGGACAAGACGCTGTACGTGGGCCTGCCAACTCCGTCTGATCGCTGTGCCATCCTCCAGACCCTAACAAAGGTAGGAATTCTCTTACTCCATTTCCTCCCCCACCCCTTCTCTCCTCTCCTTCTGTGTTCTCCCCTCTTCTCCCACCCACCCTGGGGTGGGACAAGAAAAGCAAGCTAGCTCTCCAGTTCTGTGATTGCACCCGGCGCTGGTAAGTGACCTAAGACAATATTGAGTTCCCTTCTCTGTTAACTGCTGGTTCCTCCACTCTCACCTCTTCCATTTGCACACTTTGTTTCACCCACAAAATACACAGTTCACTGCACTTTACAGTTTATCCTGTAAAGCATTTTGACTACTCCAGGCATTGATAAGTGGTTATACTTGCTATACAGCCCCGGCGTGCTGCTTCTGAGGGAGGAGAGAACCATTGGCATCAGCTGCTGGTGGGAACAAAATAATATCAGAGAAGGACGGAACTTTTTATCCTGTTTCACGTGGCACAACTCAGCCTTCAGTCCTGCTTATTTTTGTCATCACCTCCCCTGAACTCAGCACAAACTACTGCTGAGTGAAGGCCTATATATATGTGGTTGTTACAGGCTGGAATCCAATCTATTGTGTGTGTATTACAGGGTGGTGAGGGGTTCTGTACTACTGGACAGGACAGGGATGTGGAATACACGGCAGTGTGTTTATTACAGAACAGTAAGGGTATGTGTATTACAGGACAATAAGGATGTGTATTTGCACAGCAGTGAGGGTGTATGTATTAAAGGGCAGTGAGGGGTATTTATTACAGGGCAGTGACGGACGGCGTGAGGTTACAGAACGGTGAGGGTGTTTGTGTATTATAAGGGCTGTGTATAGTATATGCTATGGTACAGTAAGTGTAATACAGAACATTCTCTGGTGTTGCAGTGGGGGACCCGGCCGCCATTGGGAGGAGATGTGGATCTGAAGGCGATTGCAAGTGACCAACGCTGCGACTGTTTCACGTGAGCACAGCTTCCTGTGGTGGGAGGGGGTGGGATGTGATGTGGAGATGAGAGATTAGTTAGGGAGTTGTGGATTCAGGGGGTATGCAGGAAGGGATGGGTTGAGTGGTATGAATCGTGGGAGCGGGTTGTTTGGGTCTGCTGTCACTGACCCAGGGCTTGGGGAGGTGTGGTTGATATACAGCCTTAAACTAACCTCTGGATATCACCTCAGAATTCCTGGGCTGTGAGTGGGAGGTTGGACAGTTTCTGATCACATGCCAGATTGGTCTGTGGTTATCAGGCCATTCACCCTTGCTGTCCAGACTTGTAAGTGGTTAAGTGAGTCACTTGAGGGCGATGCCTCTGAATCCTCAGTGTGAATTGGGCAACGACAGGTGAGGGGAGCTGGGGGAGGAGGAGTGTCACACCTTCCCTCTCAAGATTTCTCCAGGATGTGGTTGAGGAAGGAACCCAGACCGTGGATAGGATATGCCCTGAACGGTTGCGTGAAATGCTATGTGCAGTAGTCATTCAGTCTCACACTCTGTGCGTTTGTGTGTCTCTGTGTCTGTTTCATACTCTCTTGTCTATCTCACTCTCCGATTCTGTGTTTCACTCAGTCTGTGTACATGTGTCTATCTCACTTTCTCAGACTTTGACATTTTGTTTCCATCTCTTGATCATTCTTTTTCTGTCTCCCAGTTTCTCTGACTTTCACTTTGTCTCTCACTTTCTTACATACTCTTACAAATCTTGCACTCTTTTTGTCCCTTTTCCTTTGTCTTTCATTCTCTCTGACTCTCACTTTTGTGTTATCCTGTCACTCTAGGTCTCTCGCTCCTATCTTTCATTCTTGTGTTACTCTGTCATTCTACATCAAATGTGAGGATTATTATTCTGTCACTGTGTGTGCGTTTTTCTCTGTGACTCCTTCACTCTCTGTCTTTCCACGTTTTTCTCTGTGTCTTTCACACACTCTGTTTGCAGGGGTGCGGATCTTTCAGCCTTGGTCCGTGAAGCCTCGATCAATGCCTTGAGGCAGCAGCTCTCCACCTCCCCACCTGACAGCCCAGGTAGGAGAAGAGACTGTACCAGACACAGGGGAGAGGGTGGGATCTCCACCATCCATTGAATGAAATGTTATTCTGATCAGATGGAAACAAAAATGTAACTATCACTTCTTTCATCAGTAACCCAAGTGCTGACTACAGGGTACAAAAAGGCAGAGACATTCCATAAACCTTGGGTTGTGAGGCACAGGATACAACCAAGCCTGGGACAGTGGAGACAAATAATTCAGAATGACAGAGTAACATACAGAGTGAAAGCGCGCGAGAGACAAAGAAAAAGGGACAGAGTGAGAAATAAAACAGGGAGAGCATATAAGAAAGTGAGAGACCAAAGTCAGGTAACTTGTGCGTCCCAGGACAGGATATATAGTCTGGGGACACACAGTCAAGTACGGGATAGCACCGCTCTGTATAATCTCACTTTGTTCAGTTTCAGGGTCTTCCGCTGGAATCCAGGTCAGTCGACAACACTTCGAAACTGCCTTCCAGAAAGTGAGATCGTCCGTGTCCGTAAAGGTAGGGGAAGCTTCTAAACACTGCAGATGTTGGTTAAACCTGCTGTGCTCAGAACACATCTGTGTGCACACTAACTGTACTTCTATAGGTGTGCATGTGTACAAACTATGAGTATCTTCTGGAGAGTTTGAGCCTCCATTCCAGACAAATGGAAAGCTCCTATGCAATATGTGGAACTCTATATACAGTAGTTTGAAGCATGCTGATTAGTTTCTCTGTGTGTCATACTCTCTGCTGACCAAAAAAAATATGCACACATGTACCCACATGGGCGTGTGTGTTAATCTTATGCACTTCTTCCTTCTCTGGGCCTGCAGTCCCTTTTCCCTTTGTCTCTCTGGCTCCTGTCTCTTGTAGTTTTGTGACTGCTCTAGTTGGGCAGTCTGGAGTGATCTGGGTTCATAGTGTTTCTGTTCAGTTGTTGAGGACTTAGAACCAGCCTCTTTCCCCCTTCTCCCCTTGGTTTGGTTGTATCCCTTACATAAACCCCTCCCCCATTGCTCAAAAGAGTAAGAGTTCTAGTGGAGTTTTTAACGTGGCATCTTGTAGTGTATTCATTAAAGCACCTGCCTCGTAAGTGAGAGGATCTGGTTCGATTCCCGGGCAGGGGAAAACCTTAGGCAAGTTTCCTTACTCCACACATCTGTTTACCTCACAATAAGTAGGAACCTGGATGCTAGTCGATTGGCAGATCGCTTTTCCGGTGGTAATAGATCCTTCAGCCCACAAAACAGAGTCGATTGACTTTACAGTATATTCTGTGAAGAACTTTGAGATGTCTCAAATATGTGATAAGGTACTATATCAAGTGCAAGTATTAAGTAATTTTATGTCTGTTTTTCAGGATCAAATCACCTATGAAGCATTGCGGATCTCACTCAATCAATGATGAACAACACCCACCTACATCATTTTGTGTCCAGCTCAGTTTATTCTTACCCTCTTCTGAGAATGCAGTGGGAATAACATGGGGGGGAGGAAAGTTTATTCTTGAGTAAGAGGTCTCAATATTTTTATCAGCCAAATTTGAGCCACACTCTTGAAGATCTCACTGGCTCCACCTGGAGCAGTGACCTTCATTGTCAGAATCAAGGTCACTTCCTCGTTCTCCCCATACAAACTGCATATACTTCCTCCCTCAGTCACAGAGAAACAATCAAAATACTGACTACTCTGTTCACTCTCTCCCATTCATTCACAGACACTGCTTCCTCTTTCATACTCGCACTTTTGTACTCATTCACACACACACACACATGCTTATTTATACATCTAATCATCTATACATCCATTGTGCAACACCATTGGAATCTTTGCCACTGCTGTGGTCAGCAGAGGGAAGAATTATCAGCGTTAACTGGAACTGGAGAATCTCATGTAAATTTCAATCCATGACTGTTCGCAATTGACTTCCGCATTTCACCCACAAAATATGCAATCAATTCACTTCACCATATATTCTGTGAAATGCTTTGAGGTCCTAAAGATGTGATAAGGCGCTATAACAAATGCAAGAATTATATTAAATATCAACCTCCAACTGCAGTGTTCCCAAATGCTTTACCGCTCATTAAGTCACGTTGGCACAGCTACTATTGCTAAGTGAATAATGTCACAGTGACTACCATTCCTCATTTTCAGAATCAAGTGACAAAAGTTTGGACAAAGAATCTTTTGTAATTTACGTCATAACAAAGTAAAAAGAAATTTGTACTTTAACTCATCACTGAATTTGGTTGTTGTGTTTTATGAAACTTCCTTCTTTGGCTAGAATTTTGGGCAAGTTTCCTTACTCCACACAGAGCCTAATAATAATCCCTCCAAAACAAAACAATAATAAATTGGTCATTTTCAATCCACGACTGCTTGTGGGACACTGCTGTGCGCAATTGGCTGCCACATTTCACCCACCAATATATGGTCAATTCACTTTACAGCATATTCTGTGAAGCGCTTTGAGACGTCAAGAAGACGTGAAAAGCGCTATATCAAATGCAAGAATTATTATTATATAGAACGCTGCAGTGGATTCTGGGATGAGGACTGGGCAGTTGCCCAAATTAGTGCTGCACCTCAGCAATTCTGGACCATTTACAAACAAACCCAGCAGCTATTCTGCAAACAATAACACTGAAGTACATAAGGAATGACCAATTTATATGAATGATTGGCTAGGCTCCTTTGATATTCAAAAATGCAAATACAAGGAAAAGTTGAAGATCCCCCCTCCGCCAAAAAAAAAAGCTACTTATCCTTCTACCAAAAATAAACTTTTGAACATAATATAAAGAAACATAATCTACAACCCTAGTATGGTACACCCTCAGCTGTATGGTGAGGTTTGCTTGCTAAATGAAATATCTTTATCAGGCACCAGTGCGTGGGAACACAAGGGCTTGTGTATTTACGAACAAATGGTAATGAATGTTCCTAGAAACATTCACAGAATGCTTTGAATAATTAATACACTGGCTTGGATTCTGAAGTGCTGTACGTCAGAGGAAAGTCACTGATTTGGCAATAATGCTTCAAATGCCACACCCTTTGGACATAAGTCACACTGGGGACTGACTTAGGTGAAAGTGTTGCCTGGACTAGCAGAAGGAAAGATGCAGTACTACTGCAAGGATACACCTTGACTAAACAATGGAGGAGTTTTTGATTTGCTTAGGTGAAGGGGATTTTCTGACTAAGCATTGCCATTCCTTGTGTTTGATGCAGCATCTATACAAGCACTTTAGGCATTTGGTCAATTAGTGAATAGTAGGGAGAAGTAGCATTCAGTTTATGCCTAAGCAAGGTCCCACAGCCAGAGATTAATTTGTTGGCCAGGATACCAGAAGAACAGCTCCTGCCCCCATAATAGCATCCTGGGATCCAGCATTCAGGCTGACTAGTTCCTTATCCAAAGAATTCCAATTGGCTCACAGGATCCTTCAAAGTCCATCTAGAACCTTGGGAGTGGGAAAGAGGCCTGCACTGTTACATTGGGAGGGAAGCACATTTGTTAGGTAATGGTCACTGTAAGGAATATTGTATCCGTTTCATTAAATTACAAGAGAACAACTTTTAAAACACTGTAAGTTACAAACTGACATTTAAAGCTATAAATTCAGATATCTTTTATTTGGCAATTTTAAAAAAAGCAAATTCACTCCCTAAAATTGACAACCAGGTAAACATTCAACTCTCATAAGCAACACTATCAGAATGGCTTCTGAAACTCAGAAAACCCCAATGAATAGAAACACTCCTCATGAGGAGCTGAAAACAGTGTCGCAGTGCTTATAAAAGAACCAGACACAAGCTAGAACACAACTAAACCGAAGCCTAAGACCTAACTAACACTAAGTGGTTAGTCTTAAGCTCCGGGCAACTTGCAGACTGGCAAGAGAAAGGCAGCCACAACATTAATCCACGAACTGAAGACTAGACAAGCCCACTTCACCAAATGTAGTTCAAAGCACAGTTGCTCTCCAGTCAGCTGCTGACCTATGTTTAACATCCCCTTCCCCTGAAGTCATCTTGTCCATTTAAGTAACTTTCACTTCTGCCCCCCAACTGCACAGCTAGGAAGCTCTTCTAAATGGAACAAGTCTGCCACATGTGCCAAATTCAATCCACAAAAGCTTCAGGCTGCCACCATCATCATACCAGAACACAGAAAGCAAACATTTGACCTTTAATTATCCATTCAATAGCAGCCCTATTGTCCAGTTATTTACTACAATGGAGGCTTAATTTTATTTCAATCCCAATTTAAAGATTTAAATTTATAAAAGTGGATTCAGTTCAGGCAAATGCAGTCTCCTCTTTTCTCCCCTATTCCCATTGGTTTGATTGACATTCTGTATCATACGTGCAAGGTGGTTTGAATTAGTGGAGCTGACCTCTGTTGCACTGTGTTTTTGGACTATTTGACAAGGTTTGAAGTTCACAATTTAACTGCACACTGATTTACAGGGAGCGTAGAGAGTAGCTAGAGCGTGCTGCTTGACATGAATAGGCAAGACAAAAATGTGCGTTAGTTCAGGGTGAGACTCAAGAGGGGTGGAGACTTAAGTAGTTAGTGTGATGGTTTTGATTTCACTATTCCCATTTGTTAATCACCCATAATAATAAATAGAAATGCTCTGTGAACAGGAATGTAGCACTGGCACTACTGCATAAATAGTTTGAGTATGGGAGGAGAAAGGCAGTTGTAGATTTACAGTTTGGTTTACGAATGGCAAACTAATAGGATTGTTTTTTTCAAAAAAAACTAGCACAACCACATTAATTTGCAGGAATGCTGCTCTGACACTACCTACTGCAGAAACAGTATTGTAGTAGGTCAGAACAGGTTTTGGTTACCAAATTGAAAGGTCCAGATTAAGTCAGGATCATCAGATAAATTGTTAATCTGGGTTGGTACTGGCCAAAAATTCAATTTTAAAATAATCATGAATAATTGCATAACTTTATTGGGACAGAAGTGCCTAGTTTAAGACGCTGATTGGCAAGACAATTATACAAAATCCAGTGACAAGCTATATGACAATTAAGTATCAATTTTAGCATTTGATGCAAGCTATAAAACTGTCAATTATAACATAATGGGGAGAAGGCCTCAAAGACATTGTGTGATAAGATTTGAAAAATGTGCCAGGGATGGGGGAGGTAATTGAGTAATGGGCAGCTGATCCAAGTCAACAAGCCTGTCTTGAAAGACTGCTTTGTAAGTACTGATATCTCTGCTGATTCAAGTTATACAAGTCTTATTCTTTTAGAATTGCACTCAAACAAAATTGCAGCTGCCAGCAAGAGATGTCTCCTCCTCCACCCTCAGGCCTGGGGTCAGAGCTCAACCTAGTCCAGCTTGGCATCCTTCAATGTTCTCTTGATTCGGGAGTAGGGGCAAATGGTGTCATCCATGATGAAGTCATATAGTACTTTCCCCCAGGAAGTGTATTGAGGCATCTTATCATAATATTCAGCAGCAATCTCCTTCACCTGTGAAAGGAAGCATGGAGTGAAACTCCTGGTCAGTTTGGCTCAAGCTGCTGCATCAAACAGAACTTCAGATTTACAAGATTACAATTTTGCCATTTGTCATGAATTTATATCAACGGCAGTTTCTCAACGGGTAGAGATTCAAATGCAGCAACATGCTGTCAGTCATTGCTATTATGATTTGTTTGCATCTAGTCCAGACCTCCCAGGTGCTGGCAAATCACAACAGCATCCAGTCTACGCAACCAGATCACTCAAATTTAAATAACTGGAAGAAAACTTTTACATCCCATTGATAGAAGTTTATATTTACTATTTGCAGGGTTTAACTCAAGGGTACCCGCAGTACTAACGAGATTCACATAGGAAGCATTGAATTCGCTCCATAATTCTAACACAACCGCAATTTAGCAAGGAGATTTAGTCAAAGCAAATCAATTCTTTGTGATTCACTCTCCTCACATTTCCTCAATGTTTAGGAGAGGTTCCCTATTTAAGTATAAAGCTACCCCCCAATATAACACCTAATCCCATCATGCATTTGAAACATTCTGCTTACCAGAGGAAGCTTACTGCCAGGAACACTGGGGAAGTCATGGTGCTCATTGTGGTATCCTACGTTGAAGGTGAGCAGGTTTAGTGGTCCATAGTAAGAGAATGTCTCATGTCCCTTCAGAAACATGTAGTGTTCAGCTATGAAGTGCCCAGAGATTGGGTGCAGACCCATTCCCAAAATAGTTCCTGCCAGCATGTACACAACAGGCTTGATTCCCATCAGGTAATAGACTAGCAGATTAAAGCTCAGCTGTACAGCTACATTCGTGATCTCCAAATGTGTCAGGGGTTTGGGATTGATCCAGAGTGGACGAATAGCATAGAAGACTGGTTGTAAGATGACCCAAAAGAGCTTCCTTAATCTGGTACAGAAGAACCAACCTTCAAAATTAGTAGGAATGTCAACATCGATGCCGTGACCACCCATGTAGCGATGATGGTCCATGTGGTACCTCTTGAATGAAATGGAGAAGGGCAGACCCAAAGGGAGGTTAGCAAACATACCAAAATAGCGGTTCAAGTACGCTCTCTTGTTGCCGAAGGCAGCGTTGTGAGCAATCTCATGGATGGCCAGGGTCATGGAGTGGCTGAAGAGGCTTCCAAATGTATAAGACCAGAAGATGATCCATTTCCAATCCAAATCCTTCAGCAGCAAGAAGACAAAGAGCTGAGCCACCACCATCAACGCAACAATCCATTTCAGGTTAGGGTCTGGGGTCATCAGTGACTTGATCTGAGGGTATTTGGCTACAAGAAAAAAAGTGGGCATGAATAAAATTTAGAATGAATGCAGGAATAATAAAGTAGATCATAGACTAATTGATCAGAAAAGACATTCCTCAGATGTTGGAGAAAGACTCCCCTTGCATGGATACATATTCTACCAACACTTGTCAATAGGCACCTGTGCAAGCCACCTTGTGAACCTGGCTCTTAGAGCTGCAATCCTAGATCTACCTTCAGGTGAGCAATGGAGAAGCTCTGCTGATTTGCTACTATAACATTTCAGCAATGACATCTGTTAGTTACTCTAGGTAGCCAAGACACAGCCCACCAACTATGTATGCAGTTCAGTTTACGCTAAACCGTTCATCTTAAGAGTACAAGAGTATTTTTCTAGAGGTTGAGAAATGTCAATTGTACAAATATTGCACCTAGAATTAAAGTTAAATTGTTAGTCGATTGGCGGATCACTTTCCGGGGGTAATAATCCCATTTAAAAAAAATTGGTTATTCAATCCATGATTGTTTATGGGACACTGCTGTGCGCAATTGGCTACTGCGTTTCTCCCACAAAATAGTCAATTCACTTTACAGTATATTCTGTGAAGCACTTTGAGACATACAAAACTCAATAAGGCACTACATCAAATGCAAGAATCATTCTATTATTTATTATAAAGGAACCTACACCACTATGAAGATTTTTATATAATGTGGGAACTACAGGACAAAAATCTTCACTTCAAAATAGGAGCTGGTACCATAGAATTGACAAATCTTGCAGTGAAAACATCCAGAAATCAAATATCAATGTTAGGATACAGGGAACAAAGAATGAGCAGCAGACCAGAAGGGGAGGATACAAGGTAAAGTGTACATTTTCAGGCCACTTGTTCCACAAAGAGCACCATCCACATTAACCAGGACCCCTTGGGAATCCATTGTGAATTCCTGGATTACTTAGAACCAGAATGCTCCTACAGAACACAAACAAGCTTGCATACTATTGGCAAAATATACAGCAGCTTTCCATGATGGTTACTTGAGCCCATGATTAAACTCTTCATTCAGACTAATATCCTGTCTCACCATAAACTAGTGATCTAGACTTCAAATATTTAGTATTATCCATGAAACGGACAGAGGTCTAATTTAGCAATAATGCAGCAGTTTCCTGTGGAATATCATGTTTAGCAAATTGGATGTAATTTCATAATTATATATGCAGATACAAACAGGCTATTAGAAAATGAAGTTCTCTAATTCGGCGCCAATGAGCACCAATCATGTTGAAATCCAATACAAACTCTGAAAGTGTCTGAAATAGAAGCTTTCTGGAAATTAATCTTGCTGAAAATATAAGACAAAATTGACAATTAACAGCATATTAATATGGCACACTACTAATCATATATAGCAAATTGATCAGAGTAGAAGTCAAATAAGACAGCAACACAATACTTTACTAGGAGGTTTAATGACCATAGTTACAAGTTTAAAAATTTACAGATCTGTTAAGCAATTGTTCACCTATTTAAGGCACCAGTAAAAGAATGTTCATTTAACACACAAGTAAACCCAGGTCAGCTGTGAGAGGGGGAAGCAGAGAAGGTTCAGTGGCTTTTGTCACTGCCTGGGGCCGCATATTGCACTTAGCAGCAATAAATAGAGAAAATTAATACGTAAATACAGTACAGGTCTGGTAGGGAAGGGAAATATCACTGGGCCACAGACTGAATCTGCCTTTGAAACTCAGCTGCCCGTCAGTAATCCATACATTTAGACTTGCATACTCAAGAGCAGACCTTTGTACCCGTCACTGCAATTTCAGACAGGCAGTCAGTGTTAGGTGAAGCACTCAGGTGTCAAAGACCTTTTGGGGAATAGTGACCCATGTTCTCGAGTATCCTTGTCCACCGGTTCAGTTCCCACCCCACAAAAAACAGCTGTCCTCACCCCCATCTTGAAAAAAATCTTCCCTGGATCCATCCCTCCTCTCCAGCTACCGCCCCATCTCTAACCTCCCATTCCTCTCCAAGGTCCTGGAACGGGTCATCGTGTTCCAGCTCCGCTCCTTTCTTTCTCGCCATTCCCTCTTTGAACCCCTCCAATCCGGCTTCTGCACTGCCCACAGCACAGAAACAGCCCCGGTCAAAGTCACTAATGACATTCTGAACATCTGTGATCAGGGCTCCCTCTGCCTCCTTGTCCTTTTTGACCTCTCTGCCACCTTCGACACTGTCAACCACTCCATCCTCATACACCTTCTCTCTGCTTTACTCAATCTTCGCAGACCTGCCCTTGCCTGGTTCGATTCCTATCTTTCTCACCGTCTCCACTTCATTGCCTCTAACAGTCTCTCCTCCAGCCCCCGCACTGTCACTTCTGGTGTCCCCCAGGGCTCTATCCTTGGCCCTCTCCTCTTTAATATCTATACGCTCCCCCTTGGTGACATCATCCGCAGACATGGGGTCAACTTCCACATGTATTCAGGTGACACCCAACTCTATCGTTCTGCCTCCACCCTCAACTCCAGGACCACTGCTGTCCTGACAGACTGCCTGTCGCACATCAAGTCCTGGATGAGGGCAAATTACTTACCGTTGAATTTGAACAAGACTGAGGCCCTCCTGATTGGCTCGCGCCAGCGCCTCAGCACCTCAGGCTCTGGCAGCATCAACCTCCACGGTTGCACACTACAACTCACCAAACCAGTCAGGAACCCAGGTGTCTTGTTCAACCCTCAATTGTCTTTTCCCCCCACATTCAAGCCATGACCTGCTCTGCCTTCCCTCACCTCCGTAACATCACCCGACTCTGTCACTACCTCAGGCGGCTGAAACTCTTGTTCATGCCTTCATCACCTCCAGCCGCCACTATGCAAACACCTTCCCAACTCCTCCCTCCACAGGCTGCAGATAATCCAGAACTCTGCAGCCCGTGTCCTCTCCCGCACCAAACTCCATGATCCCATCTCTCCCACTCTCGCCCGACTCCATTGGCTCCCTATCCTTCAGAGGATCCAGTTCAAATTCCTGGTCCTCACATACAAAGCCCTCCATGGCCTCACCCCCACCCTACCTCTGGAACCTCCTAACATCCTACCAACCCGCCCGTTCCCTCCGCTCAGCTGCCTCCGGCCTGCTCCACACCCCCCGACCCACCATTGGTGGGAGAGCCTTCAGCCACTCTGCCCCCAACCTCTGGAATTCTATCCCCCAGTCATTCCGCCTCACCCCCTCCTTAACCTCCTTTAAGTCCCACCTCAAGACCCTCCTCTTCGACCATGCCATCGGCCACTCCCCTTCCCCTCCCCTCCACCCCCCTGACCCCAGCTCGGGTCTGAAATGCTGTACTCTGTCTAGCGCCTTGGGACGTCCTCCCGACGTGAAAGGCGCTATACACATGTAATCTTATTGTTGTTGTATCCAAAAGCTGCACTAGCAGAGACATGCCTGGAAGATATCACAAGATGCAACTTTCCTATGACTAACAAATCTGACAAACCACCTTTCATGTCTCGAGGAAATCTCAACTTTGCAGGATACACCTTAAAGTATAGTGGCAAATGTGGTAGCCTGTTTGCAAAAAAAAATGTACCTACACACAACCATGAAGTGAACAACCAATTTTTATTGGGGGGGGGGGGGGGAAGAGGAATTGTTGGCCATGATCCTGGGAGAAACTCCCTCCCTTTCACATAATCCACAGGGTCTTTAATAATAATCCCTGCATTTGATGTAGCCCCTTATCACATTGTTCGAGACGTCTCAAACTGCTTTGCAAAATATACTATAAAGTGGAATTGTCTGTATATTTTGTGGGTGTACACAGCAGCCAATTGCAAACAGCAGTGTCCCACAAGAAGTCGTGCAATGAGTGATGGAGTTTTCTCTTTTGAGGGATTATTACCCCCGGAAAGTAATCCAGCATTTGACTAACAACCAAGCTTCTACTTACTGCTCATAAACAGCAGAAATATAGGCTTCCCCCTAATGCCTCTATGGGAGAACATGCCCCTTGGTTTGGTACTAGGTCATGGATTGATAACAATCTGATTCACATCTACACATTAATCGCCAGTGACCTGGAGGAATGTAATCTGGAGGAAGGAAGAAAATTCCTCAACCAAAAATGGTCAGATAGTTGGGATTGGATGGGCACCAAAAAGAGGATTTTTCTTTCTTCCCACCCCAACCAACTTGTCACATCCCACTCTGCATTCTGGAGAATCCAGCCCATACCGCACTGGGATCAGCCAACCGCCTCTCAGGACTAGGCTGAAAATTGATAGATGGAGGCAAATCACACGTGTCTCCTTATAACCTTGCACTGTGCATGACAAGTCAAAGACTGACACAGAAAGATACCCGACAGGCAAATGTACGTGGATGGCAGGTTAAGAGGGCGACAGACAGCGAGGCAAGTGAGCAGGTGCCCCTGGTGACAGAATCCTTACTGAGAAAAATCATAGAGCAATAGTTGGATCGAACGTCAAGCAGATTAGAGTTAAAAGCGAAAGCAGAAGAGTTTCCTTATCCCCCTTTAACGTCCACCTGAACAGGCTTTCCAAGACCTTAGTTTAACATCTCATCCAAAGGGCAGCACCTCCAATAGCACACCACCACCATTGCACCGAAGCAATGAAGTGAATGACCAACTTAGCTGCGAAAACATTTTAGCAGGACAAAGAGAAATTTGCCAATTGTTTTGAAATTTCAAGTCCAACCATCAGGACCTTAGCAGCTCATCTGAAAGGGCACCTCCACACAGCATTCTCAGCACTGTCAGCTTAAAGAATGAGAAGTGACAGAATGTTCAAATGCCGAAGTATAAATGTAGGGCTTCAATCCAGATGCGCTCACTGTATTTAGATGACCATTTCATTCGATTACTGCCTGCCCTAGCCACAGTAATGTGACAAACTAGAACTACCAATCTAGAACGGCCCTTTGGCCCCTCAAACACTGCGGCCAACTAATGCCTACACTCGTGACCCGGGTGAGTGTTAAATGCAGATCAGTCCATACCAGTCCGTACTATTCATTATTATAGTATTCACCAACTGAAGCACCATAGAAGGGTCCACACCAACTCAAGAACTCTACTTGTTGATCTGTTCACCACAGATCAACAAGTAGAATGGGGTGCAGGCAGAGGGGGAAATTGTTTGCGCAACATCACAATATTAATCAAACAACCTCCCCTCCCCCACTTTAATTAAAGGAAAAAAAGAGAGCTCATTTTAACAGTTAGCTAATTCGATTTGCCCCAGACAAGTGGCTGTTTAATGTTAATTATTTATCCAGCAACAGCCGGCAGTTCTTTTGGCCTACATTTTGATGAGTACATGTAGCGAAAAGGAGGCCTCAAATTGAAAAACACTTCCTGCCATTGTTGAGCAGGCTATGCAGTCTTGTGATCCAGTTATCGGTTAGCTAAGTTATTGCCCAACGCTGAGTACTGTATCCCAGCCATTACGTGTAACACTAGCTTCATTTGTCTCCACACAGAAGCGCATTCCACACAAGACTCTCATCCCACTTGGATTGATTGTATTCAATGTGTGGTACAGACTCGGAGGAACGTCAGTCATTATTCAGGTATTGTGGCCCACTAACTCTGCTCACCCACCAACTGAACTTTTGGCCTTCTACACTTCAAACATCTTACAGTAATTTGAAAACTAAACACTGAAAAATTTTAAGTTGTAACTTAGCATTCAATATGCATGTGAAAATACAAAAAGATATAGGGGGACGGGTGGGAATGAGTAGCTTTTTCAAGGAGCAAGTACAGCAAGCCAAATGGCTTCTGAGCGATTCTAGAAGTTGAGTCTTGCCTCAGATTAGGATCATTAGAATGAACTTTCCTATAGATTTATTCTTCAGAAGCAGGACATTGCTGGGATAGAATCCCATTGAACCAGGCCCAAGTAATCATTTTTCATTTGTTCAGAAGTGTAATTCAGGTTATTCAGTTTGGGGGATTACAATTGGCAAATTGCCTATTTGCCAGTTACACTAAACAGTTGTACCAAGTTCCTTAAACATTCCACAATATATAATTAAATGCAATCATTGGGTGCTTGGAATTTAAGGGTCCATGAGATGACAATCTGTGGTAAATAATTCTGCTCACCTGTGTAATGAAGTGTAAGTAGACTGGTTTTAAGGATTTAAGAAAGCCATCTCAAACAAACTTAAGTTCCTGAGACTAAACAGAAAGCTGCTCATCAGTTCAGTTCCTTGAATTGGCAAGGCTGTGGAACCTTATGACTCTTTTTAGTAACAATTAAGTCTTTCACAAATAAGATTAAGTTATTATGATCCACCCTTTGCCCTGCCTCCCCAGAGAAAGTTGCTAAAATGTTACAACCATTAAATCCTGACCATTTCCAAGTGGAAAGAGCTCCCCACACAAGAGTACAGGTGGAAAGGTGCCTGTAGTTTTATAGTCTCTAGGGTAATGACTGCTGTTATTGGTCACCAATCCCCCAGATTAAAGTTAATCATTCACTGCACGCCTGCACAAGTTAGCTACTACATAATAATTAAACTTTGCAGCAAATCTTGCACTTTAACAAGGTAATGTAATGAATGAATTACAATGAAGCCACAAAAACATAACTATGTCAGATAATTCCTCAAATTTCCTGCTCAAATATGCACATAAAATAAGACTTTTACAGTGCATTTCTTTTCAGGTGGTGGTGGTGGAGGATCAGCTTTGAAAGACTTCCACCGGCAGTTCCAATCTTCAGGCGATGAATCTCTCACACAAATAATAAAATGCCAAACTTACCCACACATTCCTAGAGAAGTGTGCGAGTTTCCCACTCAACTCTTATTGTAAAAAATATTGATGGGAATGCCCCTGCCTGACTTACCCACCTTCCAAGATAGTTAACCAGCAGCTACAGCACAGGTGCCAGAGGGAGAGAGTTAAGTTTAATAAAAAGTCTAAGCAACAGCAGAAACTAAACTGACACTTGTGGATAATAATGATCCTTGCATTTGATATAGCACCTTACCACATCTCGAGATTGAGACATCTCCAAGCAATACACAGAATATATTGTAAAGTGGATTGACTGTATCTTGTGGGCAAAACTATATACTATAATACACTTGGATGTATTAACACACACACACACATATATATATATATATACATATACACACACACACACACTATAAAGCCTATGTGTCCCAGCACCTTGGCACATCCTCCCGATGTGAAACGCACTTTACAAACGCACTTTGTTATGTGGGCATACGCAGGTTGTAATGCCTTCACAACAACAACTTGTATTTACTTATAAGCGCCCCTCACGCAGGGCAGCTTCCCAGAGTGCCCGACACTGGCAGAGCGCCGTACCGAGCCCGGGGTGGGGACCACAGGCTCAGTCGAAGAGGAAGTTCAAGCGCGACCTGAAGACGGGGAAGGAGGGGGCGAAGTGGAGGGATAGAGGGAGAATGCTCCGGAGTTTGGTGGCATAGTGGCTGAAAGCACAGCCACCGATGGATGGTGGGGGGGGGGGGGGAGGGGGGGGAGGGTTGGGGGGGGAGGGGGGGAGGGGGAGGAGGGCATTTGAATAGTCAAGGCAGGAGGTGACAAACTCGGGTGAGTGTTTCAGCGGAGTCTGAGGTGAGGACAAACACACACAGTGCATCAAACACAAAGTACAGTCAATGCACTTTACAATACATTCCGTGAGACGTCTCAACGCGGCGATAGGGCGCTATATATCAACCGCACCGATTACTATTATTATAACGGGAAAAAAAGGGCAGCCGCAGCTCGGGGACCGTTACCCGCCCCGGGCTCCCGGGGCCGCCATAGGCCGCTCCACACGCAGTGCATAAAAACGGTCCGTTTCTCTCTCTCCCCCCACACACACACACCCTCCGCACTCTACCCACCGAGTATTTCCTTCCTGCGCTCGGTGTGCGGTTGGTCGGTGGACACCCACTCGTAGTCGTCGCGGGCCACTCGGTTCCCCATGGCCTCTCTCGCTGTGTCGGTGTTGCGGCGGTTGGGAGAGCGGCTCTCGCGAGCTCCAGCGGTTATTGACCAACTCGCCGCCGGCTTCACTCACTGGGCGCGCGCGCACACACACACACACACACACACGCGCGCGCGCGCGCGCACACACGCACGAGATTGCTCTGCGCGTGCGCACACGCCCCCCCCCCCCCCCACGAGTTTCGTTCTGTCACGTCCGCACCGGCTCTCACTCTGCGCGTGCGCACAGACGCCCCCCCCCCCACCACCACTCTGGTTCAAGGCAGAGCAGAAAGTGAGTCAAAGTTTGAAAGGAAAGTGAGTCAAAGTTTGACTCACTTTCCTTTCTCCACAGTGGCTGCCTGACCCGCTGAGTGTTCCCGGCGACTCCTGTTTTTTGTTTCAGATTTCCAGCATCTGCAGTGTTTTGCATTTTGGTTCCGAATCTGGGTTCTGTTTCGCTCCCTCTCTGTACACCGGCGAGAGTGCACGCGTCCCCCGTCCCCCCACTTTTTTTTAAACCCCGCCCATCGCCGCTGCCCCATTCCCTTACCCCACCGCACCCCAATAAAAACAGAAGTCGCTGGGAACACGCAACGGGTCATCATAACAATTTGCATCTATGAGCACGTCTCACCAGGGCAACTTCCAGAGCACTTGACAGTGGCGGTGCATGACATTGAGCCAGGGGAAGGGACCATAGGCACGGCCCCAATGTTACAGCCATCGATAGCCGCTCTCATTCCTCCCTTGGGAACACGTGTTGTCTTCCCCCATTACCCATTTTTTACCTGTAATTGGTTTCAGAGGACAAAGAAGCAGCATGTCATGGGATTCAAATACTTGGGGCAATGATGATAATCCTTGCATTTGATATACAATACAAATTTGTATTTGTATAGCGCCTTTCACTTCGGGAGAACGTCCCAAGGCGCTGGACAGTCAGGGATTTGGACCCAAGCTGGGGGTCAGGATCAGGGAGGGTGGAGAGCAGAGAGGGTAGAAGGGGGGTTGAAGGCTCACGTCGAAAATGAGGGTTTTGAGACGTGCCTTGGGTGAGGCAAAGGGAATGCGGGATGCAGTTCCAGAGGATGGGGGCAGAAAGGCTGAAGGCCCGACTGCCAATGGTGGGGTGGGTCCGGCGGGGGACATGGACCAGGCCTGACCCTGCTAAACGTAGGGAGCAGACAGGTTGATAAGGGATTAGCAGGTCAAAGAGGGCCTGAAGGTGAGAATGAGAATTTTTAACTTGATCCACTGAGGGATAGGGAGCCGGGCGAGGGTGGGTGTGATGGGGTCATGGAGCCTGACACAACAGCCTGACAGAAGAGGACACGAGCTGCAGAGTTTTGGATTATCTGCAGCTTGTGGAGGGAAGAGATGGGAAGGCCGGCAAGCAGGGCGTTGGCATAGTTGAGAGTTATATGAGGCCCTTTCCAAGATCTCTTTGAGGCTGATTATTTATCCAGCAATTTCGTGCAGCTCATCTGAACACTGGGTACCAGTTTTGTTGCTCTGCTTATGTTCTGTCTCGAGTCTGGGCGTTGCTTTCCTCTATATTGTCTTTAGAGCACTTATGTTACAGTAATCAGAGCTGTACACAGTACTCCAGTTGGAACAACAAATTACATTTGTATAGCGCCTTTCACGTTGGGAAGACATCCTAAGGTGTTGGACAGTCAAGGATTTGGACCCGAGCTGGGAGTTGAGATCGGGGTGAAGGGTAGGTAAGGTGGGGGTAGGAGGGTGACTGAAGGCACAGTCAAAGAAGAGGGTCTTGAGACAGGCCTTGAAGGAGGCAAGGGAGGAGGCGAGGTGATGGGAGTCCCAAAATGTGGGGCAGAGAGGCTGAAGGCTCAACTGTCAATAGTGGAGTGAGCAGCATTACACTGAGCGGAGGGAGAGGTCAGGGGTGTGTGTCCTTTGATAAACTCTATTCTATCAGGTACATTTATTCCTGAGTCTGGTTCGGGGTTGCTGCGGCTGGTTCGGGGTTGCTGAGGCTGGTTCAGGGTTGCTGGGGGCTGGCTTGGGGTTGCTGGGGCTGGCTCGGGGTTGCTGGGACTGGATCGGGTTTGCTGGATCGGGTTTGCTGGGTCTGGTTCGGGGTTTCTGCATCTTGTTTGGGGTTGCTGGGTCTAGTTCAGGGTTGCTGGGGCTGGTTCGGGGTTGCTGGGGCTGGCTTGGGTTTGCTGGGGCTGGTTCGGGGTTGCTGGGACTGGATCGGGGTTGCTGGGACTGGATCGGGGTTGCTGGGACTGGATCGGGTTTTCTGGGGCTGGTTCGGGTGTAGCTGGGGCTGGTTCGGGTGTAGCTGGGGCTGGTTCGGGTGTTGCTGGGGCTGGTTCGGGTGTTGCTGGGGCTGGTTCGGGTGTTGCTGGGGCTGGTTCGGGGTTGCTGGGTCTGGTTCGGGTGTTGCTGGGGCTGGTTCGGGTGTTGCTGGGGCCGGTTTGGGTTTGCTGGGGCTGTTTTGGGTTTGTTGGGGCTGGTTCGGGTGTTGCTGGGTCTGGTTTGGGGTTGCTGGGGCTGGTTTGGTGTTGCTGCGGCTGGTTCGAGGTTGCTGGGGCTGGTTCGGGTTGCTGGGGCTGTTTCTTGGTTGATGAGCTTGTTCGGGGTTTGGACTTCCTATATATCATACCTTGCACTTAACTTTCAACTTTCTTTGCCGGTGTTCAGCCCAGGGACAGGCCTGTCTAGCTTTCTTTGTACATTCTTGGCTACCTCCTCTGTGAATCCAGGTCATTTATAAGTATCAGAAGTGGGAGATGTTCCTGAGGTCCGCTGGGGTCTTTCCTGTGATTCTTTCTCAAAGGAATTTCAGAAATTAGTGCTCACAACATCCTGTTGCCCCCTGTGTTGTTCTTACAATTAATTTTTATTTTCTGTTGCAGATGAGTCGAGTGTAACAATGTCTGACACCAGTAACTTCCTCCTCACTCCATCCATGTTACGCAAGATGTGGCGTTGATCATGGCGACGGATCATTATCTGCCATGAAAATAATGGTGCTCATACACACACCGATCCTCTGGATGCCTAAGTAGTTAAAACTCATGTACTGAATACAATGAAGCGCTTCCAAATACAATTACCATCATTCTTCCATACTTCAGTTATTGGTTAGTGCACTGTAGAAAAAAAAGGGTGTAACAGGACTTTGTGAACACCTGGTACACTACATCATATGGATGGATCAGGTTGAAGCATCATCTCAAAAAGTTCTGAGGTCAGCCAGCCAAGCTTCCTTCTGAAGTTGTGTTGGCTGTTCTCATATTCGCACGTTCTCCCTCTCCTTTGAACAATTGAATCCATTGGTTTGCAAATAACAAGGCGAAAGTTGTAAAAAGATTGCTTAATATTTTGTGGGAGTTTTTATATATAAACAAACATGGATTTTGAAACTCACAACATTCCAGAACGTTAAACACAGCTTTTTACAGTCAGTAAAGTCCCAAACTTTTAAACAATCATCCTTGAGATTTCAAAATTTACTGAGGAAATAGTTTTATTTTAAGTGAAGTGTATAGGTATATACTTTTGTGTGTAAAAGTGAGATATTTAACCCTTTTGAGCACTCAAGAGAGGCAAAGGGCATGTGTGATGGAAAGTCAAGGCTATATTTGGCTGCTCATTTTTCACCGAGCGAGCTAAGGTACAGAAATGTAACTTTTCTATTCTTTAAATTCCCCCCCACCCTCAATTAGATATCTGACTTCCACCTTGGGGCTGGGGAATCTCACTTTCCCCAAACAGTCCAGTCTGTTGTGATCTTGCTCATTTTGGATTCCTTCTCCTCGTTCCCTCTGTCGAGACTGAAACTATGGCAGGACCCCCTGAAGGCAGGCTTTAACTAGGGGGACCAATTTCCAAATCGGGGACTGCAGCCACCTCCTCAAACAGGAGTTTAAGGCTCTGTGGTCTTGTGTCCCTAGGCAATCTGCAGTGGAGAGTGTTGAGCAGCAAAACACGATTGCTAGATTATTTTATAAAAGCTCTGAGGTTATAAAACACCACACTGAGCGTGTGCAAGATCACAGCATGGTGGAATCGGCAGAATGTTTATTTTTTTAAAAAGAGGCTGAACTGTGGTCTCTATTCTTAGATCTAGGTCAACACACTTGTTTGGGGGAAAGTGGCGTTAGGTCCAGTATCAACGCTCAGGGTTTACACCACTCTCGTTTCTTGGTATAACCCCCACTCCCACCCAGCAGTAGACAGTTCAGCATCTGCCAATAGCAGAAAACATAATATGATACTGTGTCATAATATGATCGAGAGGACCAGGGAGGACACCATCAAGAGCTGTAAAGGACATTCACAGGAACAAACAAAACATTTTAAGTTTCTTTTTCTAAAATAATAATACAAGTGGTAATGTGAAATGCGTCCCTCCTGGGAGAGAGTGTAGTGCGCATTCCATTCCAATATACATCTCTGGGATTTCCACGTGTAGGTGGAATGCATGGAATTCTCAGTTTGGTTTGGATACTGTTAAACACGGTGATGGGTTTCCACATGTGTCAGACACCCGGCAGACAAAAAAAAAAGTAGAAAAATGTAATTCCAATTTTGATCCCTCGGCCATGCTCATCTCAAGACAGAGGTGGATCAATACATCTTTCCGGTTTTGGGTCGGGGAGCAATAAATCACATGGGGTTTGGTTTCTGAGCCGGGATCTGCTGGATGATGGACACGTGAGGGCAAGAACAGAAACAGACGTATGATGTCTCCTCTTTCAACAGACAGTCGACACCCGGTGTCCTTGCTATGTAAAAGTGGCCACTTGTGTGACGTATTGGAGGAAGGTGGTGCCCATTGGTTCAATAGAAAGGAAACTTTTCTTTACAAAGAAAAATAAAGTAGGATACAAGGCTTTCCTTCTCTTCTCTCCCCCAAAAACAGTCTGAGTAAAGGCACCACTTTAGCCAGACACAACGGGTCACAGGATAAAATCTGTGCCCAGTTACCTCTTAGCCAGGATTGGCAGCAATAACCTTTGCATTTGTTATTGCATCTCATCAAGTCATTGTGATGTCTCCAAGCACATCACAGGATTTCCCTATGAAGTGTAGCGACTGTGTATTGGTAGGCAACCTTGGCAGGCCCATTTGCACACAACAATGTCCTGTAAACAGCCGTAAAATAAAAAAACAATTTTACCTGGGGGATTATTGGCCAGGACACCGGAACAAACTACCTTCTCTATTCAAGTAGTGCCATGGTATTTTTAATGTCCACCTGACTTCAGTTCTAATGTCTTATGAAGTGACACACAGTGGAGCCCAGAAATACAGAACAGGCTGTGTGGGAGGGGACGGGGACACACAGCACCCCAGAGATCACAGACTCCCCAGCAATCACAGAAAGTGCAATCAGTAATCCAGTTGAGGGTGTCTAATCAATTCTATATGTGGTGTAGTTAGTGTGTCTGTGTATGTGAGGGGTGGGGGGAGCAGGGCAGCAGCGAGCATTACTGCTTCTTTCTCTCTTAAGACTTGCTGAATCTGGCAGTATTTATTTGCTCAGAGAGTAGGCAGCTGAGCAAGTCTTCACTGCTTTCCTGGCTTTCGCTTTGCCTTCTCTCTCCCTAGTCCAAGGATGCAGAGGTCAGCTGTTAGTATGTCCACCGTTATGCTTCCCCTCAAGTAAAGTTAAGACAGATCAAACCCTCTTGATCTGTACAGCTCAGTTTCATATCAGGTGGTGGGCAAAGAAAGAGCCTTTAGGAATAAGAGCAGAACAGATTTGGTTTACAGGCCAGCTCAGAAATTAACTCAATAATAAAAAAANAGTTCTGTGCTTGAAAGCTGCTATGTTTGGCTCCAAGCCAATTAGCGAGGCAGCCTTACTGTGGGGCTAACTGTCGGTCTGAGTCACGGGAGGAGACCCAAGAACGGAAAACAGTGGGAGGGAGGTTGGTGTAGTCGCATCTTCTCTCCCAACAACCCCCCCGAGAAGAGCTCAGCCATTCAAACTCCTCAAGAGGTATAAGACAGGCAGCCCTTCGGAGTGTATTATGGAGTATTATAAGAACAAGCCATCTTCACTGCCTAACCACAAGCATCTACATCTCACCAGACACCTTGGCGGCGGGGGTGGGGGTGGGAGGAGAATGACTGATTGTCCTGAAGATACCAGCCTCTCCCATTGCTCAGTGACTTAGCCAGTGCTCGCAAATCAGCTCAGGCTACACTGCAATCCCCTAGAAAAGTGATCTGCCAATCAACTAACAACTGGGTTCCTATTTACTGCTAGGTAAACAGAGGCGTGTGGAGTAAAGAAACTTGTCTAAGGTTTCATTCACCCTGTACGGAAATCAAACCAAGGTCCTCTCACTTGCGAGGCGAGTGCTCTAAACACTATGTTACAGGACTCTTTCCACACTCTGCAGTCAGTAGATTTCCATTTGCCAGTGAAAGGATCTATCTGTCCCCTTTTCCTTCCCCGCCCCTATTTGGCTCGTGTTCAAGTGCAGATGGCTGTTCCATAATCCCAAAGGCTGATCTTTTGGGGTGGGTGGTGGTGGGGAGGGGGAAACGTGCACGAGAGACAGGGTAAAAAACAACCACACAAAACAGAAACTCATCCCCTCTGTGCCCTCTCCCCACGCGGCCCCCCCGGCCACAAACACAGACTCCTCATTTACGACTGCGAAGCCTCTTCGTGCAGACGGGAGAGTCCGTCAGGGCTGATGCTTCCTCGGGGGGCTTTTTACGTTTGGCCATGGAGCCGGACGCCCCCTGCCCGTCCTCCTCCGTCTCGATGACCCTCTCCAGCAGTTCCTGCAAGTCCTTGAGCTTCTGCTGGCTTTGCTGGTGCTTGAGCGTGTGCTCAGACAGCTTGCGCTCCAGTTCACCCAGCCGGGCGTTCTGCTCACCGATGATCTGGTTCTGCTCCAGGATCTTCTGGTCTTGGTCCTGGAGCTGTTTCTGCTGCTCCTGGAACTTGACCCGGAAGTCAGCCAGCTCCCGGCGCACCGTGGTCACATTAAGCCCCTGAGTCTTCACCTGCTGCTGTAGCTTACACAGCTCGTGCCGGGCCGGGGTCTGCTTCGAGAACAGCTGCACAGCAGTGAGTGTGGTTGATGGGCCGGGCACTGAAATGACAACTTGTACTTACACACAGAAGCTCTGACCTACGAGTAACGTGTCCAAACTCTTGACAAAACAATGGGGATAAATCATAATACAGTAAATACTTGCATAAATTTGAGCTGAATAAATCGTATAATCGTACATCTGCCAAAGTCGCACTCAAGAGTTTATATTCTTTGCAAGTGTGACATGACTCATACTTTGCATAAATCATATTAAACGTATGGTCCCAATTGAAATGACTTATGTGAGGTTTACTGTAGTAGTAGTAATAATAATCCTTGCATTTGATATAGTGCCTTATCACATCATTGAGACGTCTCAAAGAGCTTCATAGAATATACTGTAATGTGTATTGACTGTGTATTTTGTGGGCGAAACATGGTAGCCAGCAGTGTATCATAAACAGTCGTGGATTGAGCACCCAAATTTTTTTTAAGGGATTATTACCCCTGGAAAAGCGATCCACTAATCGACCAAACAAGGTTACTACTTCCTGCTAGGTAAACAGAGGCGTGTGGAGTAAGGAAACTTGCCTAAGGTTTCACCCTGCCCGGGAATCAAACTGGGTCCTCTCACTTGCGAGATGACCATGCTAACCACTATGCTAACGGACTCCACAATAGAGAAGAGCGACGTGGCGAGTGAGCAGGTAGTGAATACAGTGTGGGAATTTGTAAGGACCAATGAAGGCACATGCAATGAGGTAAATGGTGAAGTCTTCCACTAGGCACCAGGGTGGAGGGTGAGTACCTGGTGGGGTCCCGAGGAGTCTCCCCGACACGTCCGATCCAGTTAGCTTCTTCTTCAGGATCGGGACAATCTTTTCGTCAAAGTATTCCATGGCCATGGAGGAGATGTCGCGAAGCTCCTGCAGTACCTCGTGTGCTCGCTGAGGGGCCCGAGTGGAGTTCACATACCTCAGCACCCGGTAAATCTCATCAATCACCTGCAAGTCAGAGAGAGAGAGACTAGGTAAACAGAGGAGTAAGGAAACTTGTCTAAGACTTTTACCGCCCCCCTGACAGGGAATTGAACCCAGCTCCTCTCCCTTGTGAGGTGAGTGGCTAACCACTACGCTAGGGGACTCCAGCACTGAGGGTGAGAGTGCTATATTGTCCTTTGAATGAATGTTAAACTGAGGCCACTTCTGCCTGATTAGGCGGATGTTAAAGATGACATAACACCGGAAAAAAGAAGGAAGTTACCACCGGTGTTCTGGCCGAAAAACCTGCAGATGAGTCAGTCGTTTAAGGTTGTGAGGGCTACGTTTGTGGATGCAAATTAGCTGCCATATTTGTCTACAAATACAATCATTATACTAGAAGAGCTAGGCTCCCAGGCCCTTCATTGTGGGAATGCACTGTGTCTCCCTCTCTGATAAGAGACCGTCTCCCACTCCCCACTCTGGCAGCCTGCACTCACCTTGCCGGGGATGAAACAGCACAGATTGGTGTCCACGTACTTCATGAATGTCATGTTGAGCAGTGACAGTCTGGTCTCTACGGCTGCCAGGATATCGGCATGGCGGGCCAGCGAGTGATTCCGACGCTCTGACTCCCGACTGCAGGAAGAAATAACTCCTTTAGTGCTGAATTCCAATTGCACCCCCCACCTTCTCCGCCCAGGATCTCAGCCATGAAGAGCAGGGAGTTGCTACAAGCTGAAGGTCTACAATCGATGGATCCCACCAGACCGATGACAGACTACCAATAACAATTTGAATTCATCAACATAGGCACATTTCATCAACATAATACTTTAAGGAACAATATTGATTTAAAAATGATGTGCATGTTGTTAGCAGGGCAAATGTGGAGACTATTCTGTGCTTGCACCGCCCCACAAACAACAACAACAAATCACATTTGTATAGCACCTTTCACATAGGGAGGACATCGCAAGGCCCTGGACAGTAAGGATTTGGATCCAAGCTGGTGGTTGGGATCAGGAGGAAGGGTGGGGGGTAGGAGGGTGACCAAAGGTGCGGTCTTGAGAATGGCCTTGATGGAGGCAAGGGAGGGGATGAGGAGAAGGGACTGTGAGATAGAATTCCAAAGGGTGGGGCAGAGAGGCTTAGGGCCTGTGGTGTGTTGGGCACACTGGAGCCCGCTGAGCGGAGGGAATGGAGAGGTCTACATGGATAGCGAGACCATAGTGAGAGTACGCACCGTGGGAGCTGTGCTTTGACCTGTTTTTGGCACAGGCTGTGGTATCTCTCCACCTTCAGAAAGCCCTGATTCAGCATCCGCTGGCAGATCGCATCCATCCGCTTACATACCTGGAACGGAACAGTGTCTCAAACATGGTACTGGGATTATGACAACTACTTGCATTTATGTAGCGCCCTTCGCAAGGGGCAGTGTCTCGGAGCACTTAACAGTAGCGGAGCCTGACACCAGCCTGGGAGGAAGAAGAGGTGACCATAAGCACGGTCAAAGAGGAAGGTCTTCAGCCGTGATCCAAAAGTTTATACCTCACACTGAGTATTACTCAGGCCTGAACCCAGCACCTGGGATACTACTAATAATAATCCTTGCAATTGATATTGCACCATATCACGTTGTGCAATATCACAATGTAATATTACAGTATACCGAAGAACTTCATTAATCTGGTCACTCAAGTGACTGGGTAAAAGTGACCTACTTAGTGAGGTGATTACTGATTACAGGTCGGGGGATTCAGGTCACTGATGTAATGTTAAGGACATTGGTGAACATTCAACAACCATATTTTGCAATCTCATTAAAATAAAGGCATTGTCACATTTAAAACAAAAACTGTCATATATTCAGCCTTCCTTTCAAGAACGCATCCACTTGTGTTCTGCCAATGACATAGATCACAGATAACGGTCTCTGATTTTTGCCCTTACTGTTTTTGATTAAATCCACTCTCTCACGTAAGGAAAGTCCCGTCCGTGGTGGCATGTTTACAGCACTTACCAAGAATTGGCCGTAGGAGCTCAGGTTTGGCCATGGGCGCCGGGCAAAGACTATTTTCTGCGTGCGCCGCTTCCGCGATCCCAACACTCCCCACGCCGCGCATGCGGAGTAGCAGAGTCGAGGGAATAGTGCGAGAAGCCCGAGGCCTAGTGCACAGGTTAGTAGCGGAGGAGGGTGTTTGTATAGCGTTTGAAGCGGAGGAGAGCGCAGTAGCGGCCGCAATCAATGACCGGTGTCCTGAATAGTGAGGTGCCCGGTTTACTGAAACAGACAGCCTATCTTTTAACACTGACAATGAAAGAGACTGTGAAAATGTGCCCGCAATTGCGAGGTGGTGGGTCACTGAGGCGACCGAAAACCGGGTTTCTACTGTATATTGTGAAGCGCATCGAGACGTCTCTATGCACTTCACGATATATACTGTCAAGTGAATTGACTATAACTTGTGGGTGAAATAAGACACTCGTGACCCGAGCTGGAGTTGGTGAGATTTTTGTTCCCTTTTCACGTGTTTTTGTATTGGAAATAATCTCCAGCCCTTTGGACCAAAGATCTCCAGATGAAATATTACATCAGCCCCTGTCCCTGACTACAGCCCCGAGATGCTGTCTCTGTGACAGGCTCTACACATTGCCTCAGACCCCTACCCACTGCCCCAGACCCACTGCCCCAAACCCCTACCCACCGCCCCACACCCCTACCCACCGCCCCAGACCCCTACCCACCGCCCCAGACCCCTACCCACCGCCCCAAACCCCTCCCTACCCATTGCCCCAAACCCCTACCAATTGCCTCAGACCCCTACCCACTGCCCCAGACCCCTACCCATTGCCCCAAATCCCTACCCACTGCCCCAGACCCCTACCCATTGCCCCAAATCCCTACCCACTGCCCCAGACCCCTACCCACTGCCCCAGACCCCAACCCATTGCCCCAGACACCTACCCAGTGCCCCAGATCCCTACCCACTACCCCAGACTCCTACCCACTGCCCCAGATCCTTACCCACCGCCCCAGATCCTACCCACCGCCCCAGACCCTACCCACTGCCCCAGACCCCTACCCACTGCCCCAGACCCCTACCCATTGCTCCAGACCCCTACCCACTGCCCCAGACCCCTACCCATTGCTCCAGACCCCTACCCATTGCCCCAGATGCCTACCCACGGCCCTACCCACTGCCCCAGATCCTTACCCACCGCCCCAGATCCTACCCACCGCCCCAGACCCTACCCACTGCCCTAGACCCCTACCCACCGCCCCAGACCCTACCCATTGCCCCAGACCCCTACTCACTGCCCCAGACCTCTACCCATCGCCCGAGACACCTACCCACCGCCCCAGACACCTACCCACCGCCCCAGACTCCTACCCACCGCCCCAGACCCTTACCCATTGCTCCAGACCCCTACCCACTGCCCCAGACCCTACCCACTGCCCCAGACCCCTACCAACTGCCCCAGAACCCTACACATCGACCCAGACCCCTACCCACTGCCCCAGACCCCTACCCACTGCCCCAGACCCTACCCACTGCCTCAACCCCCTACCCACTGCCCCAACCCCATACCCACTGCCCCAGACCCCTACCCCTTGCCCCAAACCCCTACCCACTGCCCCAGACCCCTACCCATTGCCCCAGACCCCTACCCACTGCCCCAAACCCGTACCCACTGCCCCAGACCCCTACCCATTGCCCCAGATCCCTACCCACTGCCCCAGACCCCTACCCACTGCCCCAGACCCCTACCCACTGCCCCAGACCCATTGCCCCAGACCACTACCCACTGCCCCAGACCCCTACCCACTGCCCCAGACCCCTACCCTCTGCCCCAGACCCCTACCCACTGCCCCAGACCCATTGCCCCAGACCCCTACACACTGCCCCAGACCCCTACCCACTGCCCCAGACCCCTACCCAGTGCTCCAAACCCCTACCCATTGCCCCAGACCACTTCCCACTGCCCCAGACCTCTACCCATTGCCCCAGACCCCTACCCACTGCCCCAGACACCTACCCATTGCTCCAGACCCCAACCTACTTCCCCGACCCCTACCCATTCTAGACCCCTACCCATTGCTCCAGACCCCTACCCACTGCCCCAGACCCCTACCCACGGCCCTACCCACTGCCCCAGACCCCTACCCATTGCCCCAGACCCCTACCCATTGCTCCAGACCCCTACCCATTGCCCCAGACTCCTACCCACGGCCCTACTCACTGCCCCAGACCCCTACCCACTGCCCCAGACCCCTACCCACTGCCCCAGACCCCTACCCACCGCCCCAGACCCCAACCCACTGCCCCAGACCTCTACCCATCGCCCGAGACCCCTACCCACTGCCCCAGACACCTACCCACTGCCCCAGACCCCTACCCACTGCTCCAAACCCCTAACCATTGCCCCAGACCCAAACACACTGCCCCAGACCCCAACCCACTGCCCCAGACCCCTACCCACTGCCCCAGACCCCTACCCACTGCCCCAGACCCCTACCCACTGCCCCAACCCCCTACCCACTGCCCCAGACCCCTACCCACTGCCCCAGACCCCTACCCAGTGCTCCAAACCCCTACCCACTGCCCCAGACCTCTACCCATTGCCCCAGACCCCTACCCACTGCCCCAGACACCTACCCATTGCTCCAGACCCCAACCTACTGCCCCAGACCCCTACCCATTGCCCCAGACCCCTACCCATTGCCCCAGACCCTTACCCACTGCCCCAGACCCCTACCCATTGCCCCAGAGCCCTACCCATCGCCCCAGACCCCTACCCACCGCCCCAGACCCCTACCCACCGCCCCAGACGCCTACCCATTGCTCCAGACCCCTACCCATTGCCCCAGACTCCTACCCACGGCCCTACTCACTGCCCCAGACCCCTACCCACTGCCCCAGACCCCTACCCACTGCCCCAGACCCCTACCCACCGCCCCAGACCCCTACCCACCGCCCCAGACCCCAACCCACTGCCCCAGACCTCCACCCATCGCCCCAGACCCCTACCCACTGCCCCCTACCCACTGCCCCAGACCCCTACCCACTGATCCAAACCCCTAACCATTGCCCCAGACCCAAACCCACTGCCCCAGACCCCTACCCACTGCCCCAGACCCCTACCCACTGCCCCAGACCCCTACCCACTGCCCCAGACCCCTACCCACTGCCCAAACCCCTACCCACTGCCCCAACCCCTACCACTGC